TCCTCGTGCTTCACACACTGCACGTTGGGGTCGATCTCCAGGTTGAGAGGCGCGAGGAGCCTCTCGTTGACCGACACGGTGGTGATGCAGGGCGGGCTGGGGCCGCACACGCCGCCAGAGCGGTACCCGAAGTTGCGGCCGCAGGAGCCGGCGTGGAAGCCCTCGCAGAGGCTGCGGCTGCCGAAGCCCCCGGTGAGGCCGCGGTAGCAGGAGATGCCGCGGTAGGGGGCGGCCGTGATGCTGCAGCGGCTGGGCCGGGTCCCGCAGGCTGAGAAGCAGCTGAAGGTGCGGCCACCGAATCCTGATCCGTAGGTCATGATGCTTCTGGAAGTTTGGCTTGCGTTGTACAGGATAGGAGAACTGGAGTCTTGTGGAAACTCTAATGTCCTCCTCTAGGAACCCGGGTCCTATTTATGCTCAGGTGGAAAGTGCTTGGCTATGCAGATGGGGTTTTGCAATTTGTGCTTTATGGGCTTGGGTGACTAGCTGGGTCCAACGCCTCTCTAGAATGTGCTTTAATAGTGGAGTGGCCCGCACCCTCCTCTGTGTAAAGAACGCATGTTTCATCTTCAAAGTGCCTTGACAGCAGGGCATGCACACATCTGAGGGTACTGGAGAGAGAAGGGCAGGGCAGGGGAGGGGAGGGAAGAAAGGGGCCAAGAAAAGGAGAGGAGAAGGGAAGCCAGATGGGGCAGAAGCAGGCAAACTGTATGTGTGTAGGGTGTGAGTGGGGGACCCAGGAAAGACTGCGATATTTATGAATAACTTCTAGAAGTTTCCATCCCAGTAGTGGCCAAGGTCCTACTATAACATAAAGCTGTATTTCCCCCATCTGCAGAAAGTCCAGTTGGCTGCTGAAATACACCTGACTTCCTGTCATGGCAGCAGCCAGCAGATTATTAAATATTTGTGTTTTATGTCTTCTTCCACTTTTATTATGAGAGTTTTCAAACATATAGAAAAGTTGAAGGAATAGTACCTGTGTAACAAACACCCTGATGTGTTCCACCCAGGTACCCAGATTCAAGAGTTGTTAACATTGTGCCATATCTGCTTTCACATTTGCCCAATTATTTGACGATTACAGAAAGCATAACATGGAGCCCTTAAATACTTAAGCATATGCATTTCTTAAGAATAAGGACAGTACCATTTTCACATGCAAGAAAAAGAACGATAATTCCAAAGAATCATTTACTATCCATTCCATATTAAAATTTCCCAATTGCCCTAATAATTTTTAAAAATAAGTTTTCTTGATTTAACTTATCGCTCTATCTCTTGTATTTTCTGTACACTGAAAATTAACTCGAGCTAGGCTGTTCAGTATGGTAGCCAATAGACACAGGTGGTTATTTAAATTAGTTGAAATTAAATAAATTCAAAATCTAGTCCCTCAATTACATGCCACACATGACTACTGGCTACCTTATTGAACAGCACAGCTACAGAACAGTTCCACCATCACACCAGCTTCTATTAGATAGTGCTGGTCTGGAGGCTTGACTGGGTTTAACTGAAACATTTTTGGGCAGAATATGTCATAACTGATGCTTTATAACTCATACTGTATTACCCCAGGAAGCACAAAATGTCAGGTTGTCCTGTTACTGGTGATGCTAAATCAGATCACTTGAGTACATTTTCCCCTTTACAATTAGAAAGAACTCCATAGGGCAACATAGGTCCTACTTTCTTTTTATTGGCCACCTACTATGTGACCATCATTATATGCCATAAATGATCTCTAATTCTCACATCAACCCTATGAAGTATGTATCATTATCCCCATTTACAGATGGGGAAACTGAGGCTCAGAGAGGTTAAATAACTCAACCAAAGTCTCCCATCTATTTTTTTTAAAGATTTTTTTAATGTGGACAATTTTTAAAGTCGTTATTGAATTTGTTACAATATTGCTTCTGTTCTTTTAAAAAATATATTTATTTATTTATTTATCTATTTTTGGCTGTGTTGGGTCCTCGTTGCTGTGCGCGGGCTTTCTCTAGTTGTGGTGGGTGGAGGCTACTCTTCATTGCGGTGCTCAGGCTTCTCACTGCGGTGGCTTCTCTTGTTGTGGAGCAAGGGCTCTAGGCACAGGGGCTTCAGTAGTTGTGGTACGCAGACTCAGTAGTTGTGGCTCGCTGGCTCTAGAGTGCAGGCTCAGTAGTTGCGGCGCACGGGCTTAGTTGCTCTGCAGCATGTGGGATCTTCCCGGACCACCCCAAATCGAATCACATCAAAAGGATACAACTCCTGCTAGTGTTGGAGGGTCTTCTGCAGAGGTGGGGGGTGGCTGTGGCTCACCAGGGGAACAAGGGCACTGGCAGCAGAAGTTCTGGGAAGTACTCCTTGGCGTGAGCCCTCCCAGAGTCTGCCATTAGCCCCACCAAAGAGCCGGGTAGGCTCCAGTCTCCCATCTATTAAGTAGTGAAGCTCAGGAGATGCAATGCCTTCTCACCTATAGGCTATGGCAACCCCTGGATTTCCTAATCCCTGCAAACTTTCAAGAGGGTGGAGAAGTTGTTAGAGAGAGGATATCTGTGGATATAGGATTGGGGAGAGTCTGTCTAAGGAAGGTGGGCAGAGTCAGAGGAGGCTGGAATGGTTGCAACCAGGAGGGCCAATGGGCATGTATGTGGCACAGGGCAATGAGAGGCTGGGGGCGGGGTGGAGATCTGCAGGACCGTGTGGCTGCGAACTGAAGGAAGGGGATGGAGAACAGCACTTTTAGTTACTTGTTTACCTCTGGTATATTGTCAGTACCTAGATAGGTTATACTGTGTTCTATGTACCCGTGAAGCACCCCATTCCAATAGAGCAGGTCTAGAAAAATGATACCATAAAGTACAGGGGTTTGCATTAAATGGAAGGGAAGAAAAGAGAAGTGAAACGCCGCAGCTAGCAGTCTTCCCCGCCCCCCCCCTCCGCCCCCATAGCTGCTGTGTCTTAGGGGCAAAGGCAGGCAGATCAGCTTAGGGCAGGAGGGAGGTGGGGGGGGTTGGTGGGCAAAGAGAATAGTGTGTCTGTGCAAGACATTCAGGAGTGGGGCTTGTGACAGGACTGACATGGGGGCACGGACTGTACCAGCCATCTTGCCATCCCAGAGGAGGGCGTCACTCCTGATACTTTATGTGTTTGGGGAGCTGGGCCAGCTCTTCTGAGGCCCTTTATGCCCTCATCCGCCACTCTGGGCACTGCCCACAAGGCAGCCGTGGTGCTCCCAGCCAGCCAGCTGGCCGGGTGTCCTGAGGAGAAGCCCTGTGAGTCAGGGTGCAGCTCACACACGCTTTGCCTTTTCTACCAGTGTAACTCCCTATAAAAATGCCACGCGTAAACATGAGCTAATTACTAATGGCTGGTCTTTGCTAAGCAATTTGAAAGGAGCAGCAAGCAATTTAAAACAAGATATTACAAAAAATTCAGATGTAACATTTCATTTAACGTCAGGTATTATTAATGGCTGCTAATTTTGAAGACCTAAAAAGACATTCAATCTGTAGGTTTTCTTAGAGTAAAAAAGCTTGTGGTGGGGGAAGAGAAGAGGGGAGGGGGGGAAGAGTTGGCAGAATGACCACTCCGTGGTCTTGGCTCTGCCAATGGGAGCTTTATGGAAGTTAAAATTGCTTTTATGGTGAAATATACCACCCCCCAAAAAGAAAGTATAGGTGGTGTGCCTACCACCTGTAGGAAGAAATAGAACATATGTGTAACTTAGGAGCTTCCTCTGAGCCTCATTCTCGCTGTACCCCCTTCCTTCCTGATCCAGGGATGGCTCCTCTCTGGGATTTTGTGTTGAATCATTCCCTTGCTTTTCTTTACAGTTTAAGGACCAAGGAATGCATCCCTAGACCGTATATGATTTAGTTTTCCAGTTTTTGAACTTCATATAAATGGAATCATAATGTGTGTATTCCATTGTTCAGTGTTGCTTCCTGTATTGTGTTCATTTTCACTGTGGACTGTATTCTTTGTATGAATATGTCACAGTTTATTCATCTTTCCACCCTGGTAGCCTCATGGTTGCCCCCAGAGTTTGTATTATGAACAGAGCTTTTCCATGTCTTCTGGTGTATTTGTGCAAGAGATTTTCTAGGGTATGTGGTTATTTAAAAAAGATTATTCAGGTAGCGTATACTTAGCGTAGAAAACTATTTTATGAATATTCTTCCAAACTTATAACAACATCTTTTGATGTTCATCTTACTTCATAGTAGATACTATACTGATTGCCCAACTTTCGTTAATGCGTTTAATTTTTACAATTACCCTCTGAGGCAGGTGTTATTATTCTAGTTTTACAGATGAGGACCCTGAGGCCTAGAGGGTTAAGAGATTGCTCAGGTTGTGTAGTTAGAGGCAGAGCTGGCACTCAGAGCTTGGTGTGTTTGATCCCAGTGGAAGGGATGAGTTTATCTCACTGCACTCCTATCCATCCACCATCTGTCATCGCTAAAGTATCACATGGTAGATGGTGTTTGTATAGGACACAATCATACACACTTGCTAATCCCTCCCTCCAGTACCTCTTCAGGGTCCTTCAATGTGCTCTCAGGGTTCAGGGCCAGAGGATGAACTCACCCTTATTTGATGTGAGCTTCCAGTTCTAAGAGAAAAGCTGAACATATACTTAGATCATGAACAAAAATGCAAACCCTGCAGCACACCAATGGGTACAAATGTTTGGTTCATGGCTATATTCCAAGCGCTTGGCACATAGTAGGTGCTCAATAAATATTTCTTGAGTGAATGATATGAATACCAGCTGCATATTAAGTGCTGAGTAATGGAGCCATCAAAGCTTGGTGGTTAATAATGCAAAGCTTTTTGGTAAGATGGGGTGGGGACCAGATGAAGCAGACCAGAGGGCAGCCATTCCTGGGGCTACGGATGGGATGGGGAGAGATCCGGGATGGGGCCTGAAGGAAAGATGCAGTGAGTTGATGTGTTCTTTACCTGAGTCCTTGACCTGAGTGATGATGGGGTGGTAGGGAAAAGCAACCAACAAGGGCAAGAATTCTGAACGCCATGGGTCAGAGTAGAGGTGGGGTAGGGTTGGGGAAAGAAAGAGAGAAGTGGATGGAAGGTAGATTTCTAGATAAAAGGAGGAAGAAGATGCTTGGTGTTAGACCCTCCAGGGCCCCTTGGAAGAAGAATGGAGACTGGCTGGGGTTTGAGGAGAATGGGAGGGAGGGGAGATTGGGGGAGGCAGAGAGGAGGGGAGGGAAGTGGAGGACAGTGGAGGAAAAGAGGGAGAAGACCCATGGGAGAATGGTGGGGAGACACTCCAGGGGTGGAAGAGCAGAGGAGGATGAGGTTGATGGGGGAAGGGGCACAGCACTGAGGACACGGTGTAGACCTACCTGGAGGGGTGGGCAACCTCGTCTCCAGCTGTAAAGAAATGAAGCTTCATGGGGCAGAGACGTGGGCTGGGGGCGGTGCAGGGGCTCAGCCTGGTTAGTGGGAATGGGCCTCGCCAAGGGTGGAGCTCCTGAGTCAGGCTTCATCCTCTGCCAGACTCTCCAGGATGGCCTTTGGCCCTCCCTCGTCCGGTGAGTTCTCATGGATAATTGGCCACTGTTTCGGCCTGTCTTGGTGAGAAGGCAGAGCTCTGGCACGACCTCTTGGATACCTGCGAGCCTAGAGTGCAGTTTTGGTATCTTCCAGATGTAGAGTCCACAGGCTGCTTCCCAGCCTCTAGCCATGGAGCAGAAGAATGACATGGGCCCTGCTTCTGAGGTCTCTGTCTCAACTGGCTCTCTACTGTCACAGCATCTCAGGATCCCTTCCTCTTCTGCAGGGTCCCTCAGCTGCCCGTACCGTCCACTCTCTGAAATATCTCCATGTACATCTTGTTACCAACACTGTCCCTCCTGCTGCCTTACTGAAGCCTGTCCTCACCCTTTCCAGGGAGCCTTTCTTGCCTTTCTCATCAGACCAGCTGTATTTCACATTGCCTCAGAATGGGCACTGTCAGTAGGCCTTGTGCTCCTGAGCATCTGATGGTGTAGCTAAAACCCAGCCCTCTTCAGATTTCTGGACTTTCTCAGGAACTTCTGGGTCTGTCTTCCTCATCAGATCAGGAGCTCCAGAATCCATGTCTCCTTCCTCTTAGTGTTTTCCTCCCTCCCTCCAAAATTAAGACAGGGTTCAGCATATTGCAGGGACACATCCATCGCAGAATCCCTGAATCCCGCAACAAGATGTTACCTTGTTTAAGCCATCATCCATTTTGGGGAATCTGCCTTATAACATCCTCCAGAGGAGCAGGATGGACTGAAGGGAGTCTTGAACAAGAATTTCTCAATGTTAAAACCACCTGATTTACCCCTTCTTTCCAGGCAACCCTTGAAACAAGATCTACTTGGGCTAAAAGAAGAGGCTGTGATCTCCAGATATGAAGGTCTTTTGGTTCGCCCTGTCTCCACAAACATGATAGCCACTCCAGAATAAACAGTGTTTCTCTTTTACATAAAGCTTCCCTAAATGGGAGACATAATGCAAGCTCCTTAGGAAACCATGACTACTTGACCCCCTCTGGCAAGTCTTTCCTCAAATCCAACTTCTGTCTTTCCAGTCGCAGCGAAAGCCTGACTTCTCTTGCTCTCTTTGGAATTCCATTATACTTGGATGGATTATCAATGGCAAATCCCCCACTCTCAACCCCATGGTATCCCTGGGCTACTGACCAATCAGGAGTTTTCAGAATCAGGCAAAAAAGCAAGATGAATGAGCATGTCATTGATTTATGGCTGAGGACTTCCAATAAGGCCAAATAAGACATACACATTTATCAGTTACTACAGAGAACAGACTTTTTGGACTGTCCAAGCTTTTCTTTTCATTCAGTAGTGTGGTTGCCCAAGGATTGGTGACATTTTCCCTTTGCCTAAGAGGAGAGATTCTCATTGGGCCATCCCTGGGGCAGTTGGGTTTGAGGATGGATGTTTGATTTGGGGTTCTTTTCCAGGATAAAGGAAGTGACGATGGTCAAAGGTCTCCAGTCCTCCCTGCCCCTTGGACTGACCTCCATGGTAGAATAAGAGTTGATAACATTTATTGAGCACTTGCTATGTGCCAGGTGTTGAGGTAAGCATTGTCCATGTATTTTTAAATTTAATCCTTCTATTAGTCCTTTCAGATAGGCACCATTAGCGGGAATTTTACATAGGCGGTTTAGGAATGTGGGTAGGTATGTTCCATCAAACCTGCCACTACAACTACAGCAGCAGCACCCATACCGACCACTAATATGATTACATACTCAGAGTGTGTCAGGCTCTGTTCTAAGTGCTTGACACTGATTAATTCTTTTAATGGGTACTATTATCCCTATTTTACATATCATGAAATGAGATACGGAGAGGTTAAGTAATTGCCTGAGGTTCCACAGCTAGAAAGTGGCAGAGCAGGACTTTGAAACTAGGCAGTTTGGAATCTGGGTCTGTGTTCTTAACTGATAAACCATGTACTTAAACTTTTTAGTTTCAGTTATATTAAGAAATAACTTTGCGTAATGACTAAGTACGCACATACATACATATCACACGCTGTTGAAACAAAAGATCCTGAAATGTTACTTTTACTACAGAAGTTACACTGTAATATTTTCTACTATATTCTACTCTACTTGATTTTGTCCTAATCTGTCTCATTAAAATTCTGGTCGTTCCTATTGGTGGGTCACAATATGAACTCTGAAAAAAAAAAAAATGCAGTCCCAGAGCCTGCTGCTTCTTAATGATTACAGTAAAGCACATCTGCGCTGTGCTCTGGAATTTACTGAGCATATGCACATTTCTGTAATACTCCGAGGCAGCACTAGGAAGAAGAGGCTCAATCCATTTCCCAGAGGAGTGAACTGCTTTGCCCCTAGATCACACAGAGCTATTCATGGCAGAGCCTTGGTTCCTACCCAGCCTTTTACCGTTCAAGGCCCAACCTATCCACACTGGATGGATGGATGGCACACATCAAAATGGATGTGTTCTGACATCTTCCAAGGCTACCGACAAACTGCTGTAAAGGGAAGGGGCTTGCAGGTTTGCTAGAGCATGGAAAGCAGTACGGGCTAAGGGTGGTGATGGCAGGGGGCTGGATGCTCTCCTTATATGTCCCTATCTGGAATGATTCTCTGGTATTTGGAGCCAAATGCTATAGAGATTTATAACAGCTGTGTCTACTCCAGTCCTTCTGGGCCCTGGAGAAAACATGGAGACAGGAGGTGAACTCCAGACAGGCTATCCTTGCCTGGGGCCTTGTTGGAAATGGCTGGGCATTCCTGAGGCCACTGAGCCCGTGTGTGCCCCCTTAGGCCCCACGGAAGACTCTGAGGGAGGGATTGCCTTCTCTCAGCATAGGTTGACAAAGAAGGTCTAGTAAGTGGCCTAGGGACTGGTCTGCGTGCAAGTGAAGGTAGGTAAGTGTGGATGTGAGCACGTGTGAGTGTGTGTGAGATTGTGAATGGGAAGGCCAGCGTGTGAGTGCACAGTGTGTACGTGTGAGTGTGTGAGAGAGGCAGAGAATATGTTGATGGGTATAGGTGAGGGATTTGGGAGCAGATGTGCGATTAAGTGAGAGACCGTGTAAGTGTGGGGCTTTGGTGGTGCAGAAAGAGGCCGTCAGTGTGAGGGAAATCACCAAGTGCGCCTCAAGTTCCGCACCTTCTGTTGATCTCACACTCCCCCAGTGTTTCGGGGCACCATGGACAGCGGCATGATTCATCAAATGGGGCAGGACAGGAGGAGCCGCAGCCCGGTCTCTCCCTGCCCTCCATTCCAACCTGAGTCACTGCTCCCCCATCCTCCAAACCCGGAGCTTTGCCAACTGTGTATAGGGAGGTTGGGGGTGGGTGGGGGAGGTCAGCTGGCTCTTTGAAATCAAAAATTGTGCATTTTAGGGTAAAGGCCAGAAACATCTGGTCGCATCTGGCCCCCAGTTAAGCACATTAAGGAAGAAGCAATAGCAGCTAAACAGCCCAAGCCTATAAAAGTCTAACTGCTTGTAACCCATGGATGTGTCAGGCTCCCCACATATATAAAGGGTCCAACGATGTCCAAGAAGTAAACACCTTCGTCCACTGTGCCCTCCATTAGGCCGTCTTCCTCCTCAGAGCCTCCCGTGCCCCAAAAAACACCATGACTTGTGGATCTTACCGTGCCGGCCAGCCTTCAGCTGCGTCTCAGCCTGCGGGCCCCTGGGCCGGCCGCTGCTGCATCACGGCCGCCCCCTACCGCGGCATCTCCTGCTACCGTGGCCTCAGCGAGGGCTTCGGCAGCCGCAGCCTCTGCAGGGACTTCCGCGCCGGCTCCTGCGGCCGCAGCTTGGGTACCGCTTCGGCGGTGTGTCCGGCCCCAGCCCGCCCTGCATCACCACCGTGTCGGTCAACGAGAGGCTCCTCGCGCCCCTCAACCTGGAGATCGACCCCAACGTGCAGTGTGTGAAGCACGAGGAGAAGGAGCAGATCAAGTGTTTCAACAGCAGATTCGCTGCCTTCATCGACAAGGTGGGTGTCCTTGATCACACCCTTCCTGAACCCTCCCTTCCTGGGCAGGCACTGAAGGGGTAGTCGGGGGGCAGGAGAGATGTGGCCCAGGTGAGCCCCGAGTCTGATGGAGGAGACGGACACATATCCAGGGCACAGAAAGATCAGAGAGATGAGTCTAGAGCAGGGGCTCCTGATGATGCAATTGTTATTATATACAACCTCTGTCCAGACAGGCAGGGTCCCCATAGACAGACAAGGACAAGGTTGGGAACCGCATGTCGGAGGAAGAAGGCCATACATGCAAACAAGACACAAGAAATGCACATAAGATATAGAAAGAGAACCACAGGTCACCCTTTGGGTGGGTGTCCTTGATCACACCTTACCTGAACCCACCCATGCTCAATTCAGGCTGGGCACTGATGGGGGAGTCAGAGGCAAAAAGATCTCTACTTGGCTCCTGACCACATGCCACCTAGGCTCAGTACGTCAGGATAACTCAGTTCACCTGAGCAGAGACTGATCATTCCCGGCCACTTGCTCTCACCCCTAACTTGGAAAATCCAAACATAGATCCCAATCCCAAAATCCAGAAGTTGCCTTGTCTTCCACAGCACCCTCTGTGTAATCTCTGCTGAGCTCCTGGTTTGGGAGTTTACCTTAAAGCAATCAGCGCCCTCTCCCATCCCCACATGCCCCAAGTAGGCTTTGGGGCAGTGGGAGCCATCTGACCCATCCTCCCACCCCAAATGGCAGGTGCGCTTCCTGGAGCAGCAGAACAAGCTGCTGGAGACCAAGTGGCAGTTCTACCAGAACCGCCAGTGCCGCGAGAGCAACCTGGAGCCCCTGTTCCAGGGCTACATCCAGACGCTGAGGAGGGAGGCCGAGTGCGTGGAGGCCAAAAGCGGGAGGCTGGCCTCGGAGTTTAGCCACATGCAGGAGGTGCTGGAGGGCTACAAGCAGAAGTGAGTGCGGTCAGGGATGATGCTGGGCACAGGGATGGACTTGAGTTAAAGCCTACTGGATGAGACTGGAGAAGACTTTCCAAGAAGGGCCAGTGACCTTGCAGGGCAGGTGGGCGCTGTGCAGTAGGATCTTCACATCAGGCAGTCATCGATCAGATGCCTGAGAGCAGGGCCGTGATTCCCCAGGAGGTCTCTCTCTGCTCCTTCAGCCTTCACTTCCTGGAGCCTGATCACCCAGCAGCTGTGCCCTGCGGTCTGTGGGGAGGGGGCTTCTGCAGTCTCCCAAGCCATCTCCTCCCGGCCTCTCAGGCTCTCACCTGTAGCACCTGGACTTGATATGAGTCCCAGTGTCGCTCAGGGCTGCCAGGTCCTGGGGCTGCTGGTGTCCCACCGTCTAGGGTGCGGAGTGCTGAGGGCCTCTGGGACTCATGGGCCCTCCCACAGCTGAGCTAGGATGGACACCCAGGAGAGCGGAGGCTGCAGTGCCCCACACGTGCTGCTGTCCACTCCTAGCATGGGGCTGGTGCTGAGTCCTTATTCTCCAGACGGGACCTCAGAGCAGCTTTGGGAACAGGGCTGTGAGGTCCCAGAAGAGTGGCCCCCTGGACCCCTCAATGCAAAGTGGAGAGAGAATCACAAACACATCCCAAATCCAACCACAGCGGACCCCAGCAGGGCTGCCAGGGGGTGGGCTCTGTTGGCAGGTCCCTAACATTGCCTCCTTCACTGGTATGAAGTGGAGGGGGTTCTGGGGAGACCTGCCCTGCCATGACCTCCCTTTCTGCCCTCTTCTGCCTCAGGTACGAGGCGGAAGTCACTCTGAGAGCGACAGCGGAGAATGAGTTTGTGGCTCTGAAGAAGGTGAGTCACATGGGATCGGGAAGCAGAGCACGAGGGATCTCAGAATGACAGGCTCTTGCTGGGGAGACCCATGGTCTCAACCTCAGTGCGGGGTGCAGTGACCTTGCCAAGTCAGGATGGGAAATTCCCAGGGATTAGGTCATGAAAGGCCCATGTAGGGCTCTGAGAAGGGCACTAACCTTGGAGTATCCACCAGCACCCTGCCCTGAAGCCGGGGCATGGCTGAGTTGAGCTCTGGATGGTCTTGTGCTGCTCCAGAGGTGGTGGTGTGTGGCTGGGGCCCCATGGAGGCATGGCGGCTCCAGTCTCGCTGTTGAGGGATGGTGTCCTGTCTAGTGATGCAGGAAGTCTGATTAGGAAGAGGGGCACAGTCTCAGGATCTCGGGGAGGATGGAGCAGAGCCAGGAGAGGCCAGGTGGAGTCTTGGACGACTGCTGGGGGACAGGGAAGTGTCAAGGTGGCTGAGTGAGGGAGCCAGTCTGGCAGGCTTCCTGGTACAGGGGAGGGTAAGAAGGAGAGCTGGGAGGTAAGAGGTCTCAGGTAGGAGGAGTGAAAGGCTGGTGACCCATCTCCAAGGCACAAAGTGTTTGTTCTTAGAAGGGGAGGAGGTTGTGAGGTGCCTCTGGGGAAGGGCAGAGGGTATGGAGATGGCATGGGAATAGTAGCACTGGGAATCCTTTCCCCTTCACCTCCATGTAATGGGTGAAGGGAGAGAGGAATGTGGGGGTGGTGATCACCAGAGGTCCTCTGAACTCAAAGACTCCCCACCTTTCCAGGATGTGGAGTGCGCCTACCTCTGCAAGTCAGACCTGGAGGCCAACTCAGAGGCCCTGATTCAGGAGATCGACTTCCTGCGGCGACTGTATGAGGAGGTGAGGGGTTGTGGTCCAGGCAGAAAACCAGCAGCTGACCTGGAAGAGAGGGCGTTGGTCTGGGATCAGAGTGGGACAGGGATTTGGGCAGCAGCTGCAGTCCGTGAGGCTGTCAGAGAGGGCGGGGGCTAGAGAGCAAGGAGGGCTGAGAAGGTTGGGTACACACTGTGGTGAGGGAGGGGATGGTGTAACCCACACGCATCCTCCCACCCCACCATCTGCAGGAGATCCGAGTTCTCCACACTCACATCTCAGACACCTCGGTCATCGTCATGATGGACAACAGCCGGGACCTGAACATGGATAGCATTGTGGCCGAGATCAAGGCGAACTATGACGACATTGCCGGCCGCAGTCGGGCCGAGGCTGAGAGCTGGTACCGCAGCAAGGTGAATGTCTCAGGGCACCTGCCTCCTAGACGTGGTGGGAGGGATGGGTGGTATATATGAACAAGGCTTCTTTTGTGTGGGGACTCTGATTCCTAGAGGTGGAGAAAGAAGTGCAGACCCCTCTCAGGTTGTAGTGGCAGGACATGGCTGCCACGTATGGTTGCACAGGCTGTGCTGTACAATTTGCAAATCATCTGTGGTGTCCCGAGTGGGTGCGATGTCCCATCCTGAGTTTCATGAGCCTCTCTGCTTCCCTCCAGTGTGAGGAGATGAAGGCCACGGTGATCCGGCACGGGGAGACCCTGCGCCGCACCAAGGAGGAGATCAACGGGCTGAACCGCATGATCCAGAGATTGACGGCCGAGGTCGAGAATGCCAAGTGCCAGGTAGGGGTCGTTTGAGGCCCACCCAGGGTCCCACAGGCAGTGTGTGCACCCAACTGGATCTCACCTTTCATTCACCAGCCCATCTGCATGACCTGAGTCCCAGGTTGTGGTCACTTAAGGAAACCCATGTGATGAAGAGGAGAGACCTGTTTCTGGGGTGATCCCAGCTGGCCAGGAGAGACTGGATGCATCCAGGAAGTGGACACAGAGACCCAGGGACCATAACCCATCTTGTTCTCTTCTGGGCCTTTAGAACTCCAAGCTGGAGGCCACTGTGACCCAGGTGGAGCAGCAGGGCGAGGCGGACCTTAATGATGCCCGCTGCAAGCTGGCCGGGCTGGAGGAGGCCCTGCAGAAGGCCAAGCGGGACATGGCCTGCCTGCTCAAGGAGTACCAGGAGGTGATGAACTCCAAGCTGGGCCTGGACATCGAGATCGCCACCTACAGGCGCCTGCTGGAGGGTGAGGAGCACAGGTGCGTACAGTAGCCAAATTTCTCTCTCAGCCCTGCCTGGGTTCTCAGTGTGCTGTCCCTCACATTCCTACTTGACTCCTGTTTCCAAACCTCCCCATCCTGCAACTGGAAAGGTAATTTGAGTTATTCATTAGGTATGTTTCTAGCCCCATTTGAGTCTCTCATGCCCACTTAGGTGCTGATCTGAGATTGGTGCCTTTTGCAAATCTGTTTCTCAGAGCCCGGGGTCAAGGCCATAGTCATTGCTTTCCCTGAGAAGCCCTGTCTGGGCTGGGCCACCTTCCCTCTATAGTGCCTCTTCCGTCCCGGGCCCTCGTTGCAGATGTCCCTCAGGGTTCCAGGTCTCTTTTCAAGCCTGGTGCTGGCCCCAGCCCTGGGAGTTCAGATTTCTCCCCAAATGACAGCTTCAATAGGAGGTTTTATCAACACACACTTATATATTTTAACCACAGTGAGCATCCCTAAGTGGTCGTCCATTGCAGCAAGTGGGACTAAGGATAGACAGACAGCAGGGACTGGTCTCTTGAAGCAGCTGCCCTGGTCTGGGCATTTTTGCTTGTTGCTTGTTTTGAGGGCGTGGGAGACCCACTGGTCTTCAGTCTTCTATGTTCAGCTGGAGGGGGGCGGCTGAACAGCTCCTATGAGGACAAGAGTCCCGGGGTGTTGCCTTTGGTTCTTTCCCCAGTTAGTCAGGTGCTCTTACCCTGAGCCTTCCTCTTCTCATGTCCAGCCAGGCCCTTGGTCCTGGGAAGAGTAGATTGAGGATGCAGAGGGAGCGTCCTGTGTGTTGGGGAAATGAGGACACAGGTTTGGTAGCTGGAATCAAAGCGATCACATGTGAGACTCGCAACAAACGCAAGTAATTGCCTTGGAGATTTCAGAGGCACTGGGGCTCTCTGGGCCTGGGTAGTTTCATTGGGGCAGAATTCTAGGAGGGAGAATTTTTCAAGACTGAGTTTGAATGCTGGAGAGACACTGGAAACAGTAGCACTGGAAACAGAGGTCCACCCCTTTGCCACAAAGCGCTCTTGGAATGAACTCCGAAGCTTTGGTGTGGGTTCCCTAGGAAACCTGGGCATGGGACGGTAGATGGTGGGCTGCGGATTCTCCACATTTCTGAAGCTGATCTTGACAACCCTTTGCCACGGTCCCTCAGAGGGACTCTGTGTGTTTTCCTTAAGGAGAGAGCGTTGTGTGGGAAGGAAACACGGGCTGGGTGGAGTTAGGTGGCAGGAGTGATATCCCTGCCTCCGGCACTGGTTATTTCCTGTCTCTGGGCCTCAGTTTCTCCATCTGTTAAGTGAGGGAATTGGTGTAGCTAGCCTCTGAGCCTGCTCTCAATGGGTTCTAACATCCCATTCATTCATGCAAGTTATTTATTGAGCCAGGTATCGTTTGGGGCACTATCTGCAATGGGGAAAAGAATAGACAAAAAATTCTGTCTTCCCGAAACTCACATTTTAGTGACACCAATCAGACCAGATTCAGGAATTTTAATTTGCTGCACCTCAGTTGTATTTACAAGTCCATAAGAACCGAAATAAAGAGTAGCAGCTACCATTTTTGAAGTGCTTACTGTGTGGCAGGCATTATGCACTTGTAGGCGTATTCTGAGTTCATTCTCACAACAGATCAGGGAGTAGATTTTCCCCAGGAGGAGACAGGCTGAGGGAGGGCATTTCTGAGGTTGCTCAGCTAATAAGGGGTGGAGAGCCGGCGCACCAGGTGATCTGTCTCCAGAACCCATACAGTGACCCGGCTACCGCTAAATCGCCCCTTCCCCTGGGCAAATGCGCAGAAGGAAGGTGGGGGACCTCACCTTTCACCTTGTTTGTGTGTGGTCCAGCGACTTTTCAGGGCACTGACCTTTCTCCGCAGGCTGTTCGAGGGCGTCGGGGCTGTGAATGTCTGTAAGTAGCCTCCCCTCCCCCTTCTCCAGCTGGGTGGTCACAGTGCCTTTGGGGAGGGAGCATTTTCGCTGCCCCAAGCCGCCTGGCTGTGGCAGTGCCTGACCCGCGTCTCTGCCTGTTCTCCCCCCATCCAGGCGTCAGCCGCTGCCGCGGGGGCGTCGTCTGTGGCGATCTCTGCGCCTCCGGCGCTGCCCCTGCTGTCACCACCAGCGTCTGCAGGGCCCCCTGCAGCGACAACGTGGTGGTGGGCACCGCCGACGCCTACGGCCCCTGCTCCGGGCTGGGCTGCAGCATCGTGGGCTCTAAGAGGTGCTAGGGTCGCCCTGCGCCCAGCCAGGACCTCTCGCAAGCGGAACGCCCCTTCCGTGGCCCCACGCGCCGCCGGCTGCTGGCCTCCGGAGAACAGGCTCCAGATGTGTACCTTTTGCCTCTCCTGCTCCCTAGCTGCTCCCTCTGTGTGCCATCCCCCGGCACCTGAGCCCCACTGAGGCTGGGGCGCACCTTGGCGTCTTTCTGCAGTCTTTCCTAGTAGTCGTTTGGTTGTTCTGAGGACTTATCCTTTCTTCCGCCTTCTGTTTTTTGCTGGATTCATTGGTCTTGCCTGATCCCTTCATCTAAGCTTGGGGGAACAGGACAGGCCCCAGAATCTCCCCATCTGCACATCCTGGGGAATCTGCCAGTGTGCTTGTACCTATGGAATGGAGATAAAGAACACTGATGGTGGTTTTCCTGTAACTCTGTGAGGGATGTGACCCATTGGAGGGGAGACCATCACCTTCCAGGGACGCCTGCGGAGGCTTCTATAAAAGCCGGTGAGTCAGCTGCCTGCAAGTTTGTTTGCCTTTATTTCACTCTTTGTTTCCAATAAACTAATTGTAACTAATCCAGCCTGGTGCCTCAGAGTCTTGCAAACGCCAGGGCCCTCCTGTGATAGGTGCTCCCTGCCAGAGATTTCTTCAGGACTTCTCATGCACTTAGTTATTTTTCAGTAGGTGAAAATGACTGCAGTAGAAGCTGCCCACCTGGCCTTGAGCAACCTGAGGCTTGGAAAAACAAGAGAAGACCCATGGAGGCAGGGAATCCCTCCCTGCCTTGTGTGGTTACGGGTTTCTATAGACCAAGGTTTCTCAACTTCAACACTATTGACATTTTGGGCTGGAGACTTCTTTGTTGGGGGTGAACGTCCTGTGCATTGTAGGGTGTTTAGTAGTAGCAATGGCCTCTACCCACTAGAAGCCAGTAGTACTCCTCACCTCCAATTGTGACAACCAAAGGTGTCCCTAGACATGGCCAGATGTGCCCTAGGGCTTCTCAACCAGGGTGATCGTCCCCTCCACCCTGCTGGGGACATTCCTGGAGGGGGAAAGTACATGAGGAAATGGGTGAAGGAAGGCATGTGGGACGACAGTGTGAGGGAGACGAAGAGCTTTGGGTCAGGAGAACCAGGCTTCTAGCTCAGAGTCCCGATTCTGCCATTTCTTAAGTGGGTGACTTTGGGCAAATTGCTTCCACCTTCTGAGCTTCAGTTTCTTTGGCTATAGAATGAGGGATGTTGGACATTATTCCTAAGGTCCCTTCTGGCCGCCTAAGTGAGATTATGTATTTAAAAGAGCTTGGTTAATACAAACCTATGTTTGAATGTTGGTTCGCCATTTACTAGTTCTGTAATTGTGGGCAAGTCATTGATCCTCACTGAACTTTAGCTTCTCCATCTGTAAAATGGAATAATGATACCTCCTGGGTTGTAGGGAGGTTTCAGATATCTATTACACATAACGAATCACTCCAAAATTTAGAGGTTTGAAACAATAATGCTTTATTATTTCTCATGATTTGATGGGCTTACTGGGCAGCTCTTCTACTTTATGTGATGTTGTTTGGGATGCTAGGATGTCTGGAAGGTCCAAAATGATCTCATTCCATGTAGCTGGACTTGGTACTAGCCACCAGCTATGAGTTCAGCTGGAGCTATTGGCCAGGATGTGTCAGTCAGGGCCTAATCAGGAGACGATAATTTGAACAGATGAAGTTTAATATAAATAATCATTAACTATAACAGGGGATTGAGTAATGAGAGACTGGCTAGTAAGAAGCAAAAAATCTAAAGCGTACAGGAGCTGCTGGACTACCCTGGTGGTGCCGTGGTTAAGAAGCCGCCTGCCATTGCAGGGGACACGGGTTCGAGCCCTGGTCTGGCAAGATCCCACATGCCGCGGAGCAACTAAGCCCGTTTGCCACAACTACTGAGCCTGCGCTCTTGAGCCCTCGAGCCACAACTACTGAAGCCCACGTGCCTAGAGCCCATGCTCTGCAACAGGAGAAGCCACAGCAATGAGAAGCCTGCGCACTGCAACGAAGAGTAGCCCCCATTCGCCACAACTAGGGAAAGCCCGCATGCAGCAACAAAGGCCCAATGCAGCCAAAAATAAATAAATAAAATAAATAAATTTATTTAAAAAAAATAAAGCATACAGGAGCTGCAGATATAAGGAGCAGCCCCTACCCCTAGGCCTGAGAGAGTGCACCCAAGGAAGTGGACCCCCTGTGGCCAAGATCTGGACCTCAGATCCAGGGAAAGCTAGGGAAACCTGTTCAAGAAGACATGTCTCCACCTCAAAACCGCCTGAGAAGGATGTTGGAAGCTGCTGGCCACAGGATACTGCTGACTACCGTGCACTGCAGCAGTGAAGCTACTGCACGGCAGGAGCAGTTCTGGAGAAACTGTGGGTGCTGCCAGAATCTGCGAGGAGGAACCTGGAACCAGGAAGGAAAGCCCCTTCCTCCTGCAATATCTCTCCAGCGTCCTCTACTGACAAAGCTTAATACTGTGCCAGCAAACAAAGGAAAATATTGAAAGAGCCCCTCTAAATTTTCACAGAGCAGGCAATGACGGGTGAATCTGGAGCTGAGAGAAAATACATTGATAATTGGCATCCAGAGACTTGGTTGTCCTCCATATGAGCCTTTCTCATGTAGCTGCTTGGGCTTCCTCACAGCCTGGTGGCTGGGTTCCAAGAAGAAGGAAGGTAGGAAGCAGAAGCAGCCAGTCCTCTTTAGGCCTGAGCTCAGACGTTCACTTCCACCATATTCTATTGGGCAGAGCAGTCACAGGGCCGGCTCAGATTCAAGGGGAGAGGAAATAGGCTCCTCCTTGTGATGTGCAGAGAGGGAAGGAATTGTTGGGGCCACGTGTGGAGACTAGATCCCACAGTGCACTCTCTGTTCACAACAATTCATGTCCCTCCCACAAACAACATATGCTCACCCTTCCAGAGATCCCCCCAGGTTTCTCCCCATTATTATATCAGCTTGAGTTTCAGGATCTTGCTATTTGGATTCAGTCCAGTTACACGTGAGGCTCGTGGGATATGGTTCTTTTGTTGCAGCTCCCCCATGATGGTCTACCTCAGTCTGAAGTCCTGTGAACCAAATGGCAATTATCTATGTCCACCACACCTATCATGCAATGGTGAGATGGGATAGGATAGCCATAGTCTGCACTCTCATTTATTTTTTTAATTTTTACTTTTATTTTGGCTGCGCCACATGGCTTGTGGGATCTTAGTTCCCTGACCAGGGATTGAATCCGGACCCACGCCAGTGAAAGTGCTGAGTCCTAACCACTGGATAGCCAGGGGATTCCCGCACTCCCGTTTAGAAAGAGGAAAAGCTGGAGGCACTTGGAAGTCCCTGATTCATAATAACTCTAAGTATAGTCAGGCACCCACTGCAAACGCCTCCTGTTGTAGTGGCAGAGGGAGTATATCTGATTCACACATGCCTCTTATGTGGGGATCCAGAATTAAAACTCAGACTTCTGGTGGGAGGACATTTGCCCTGATGGCCTGGACAGAGACAGTTGATTGGGGACCTCTGTCTCCGGCATATTCTTGAATTGACAGTCCTCAAGAAGTCCCACCAGGGAAGTCTGTTCAGAGTCCCCTCAGATGCAAAGGGTGTCCCCCCTGGATGTGATAAGATGGAGAGAGGGGTTTCTGGTGGACAACATTCTTTCACTTGTTTTATAGGAAAAACTCTTACTTCTCTCACCTTATGTTATTTGGGATTTATAAAAAGCGATAGCACAGGGAGATCAGCTCGGTGCTTTGTGACCGCCTGGAGGGGTGGTATAGGGAGGGTGGGAGGGAGGGAGATGCAGAGGGAAGAGATATGGGAACATATGTATGTGTATAACTGATTCACTTTGTTATAAAGCAGAAACTAACACACCATTGTAAAGCAATTATACTCTAATAAAGATGTAAAAAAAAAAAGACCTGATTTGGTAGAAGATATTTTGTCACAAGAATACATATTTGATCTGAAGATATAGAAAAACCTTTGAGTAGTTCTCCCTGGCAATGCCAGGGGTGACTTCAGAAGGTGTCCCCAAGGGGCACATTGGTCCCGTGGGACTCTGGGATCTTTCTCCAGATCTTTCTTCATGTGGTATTCACCTAGTCTCTGCCTCCTGGGCTTAGAGGGTCCTGCAGGGGCTGCACCTTGGGCACAGCATGGTCTGGATTCCACCAACTTTGAGCTGGCGAGAAAATCAGGTTCAAAAGGCCACTAGATTTTCTCTGCGGAGGGAAAGGTGTTGTACCAGGATTGGAGCTGGGGAAGGGGGGGTGGTAGAAATGGGGGAGGGTCTACCTCTTCTTTCAGATGGTGGTGGTGGAGGGTGTGTATATGTATATTTGTGCCTCTAGTGTTTCCTCCATATTTAATGCAAAAGCTCATCTTCTGAATGCTCCCTTGACCCACTCCCTTCCCTGGCTGCTTGCCTCTCACCACCGCTCTTCAGTAGCACCAAGAGTATAAGAGCGGGGTAGCCAGACAAGAGGCGATTCCCAGATGGTCATTTCCAATGTCCCTGTCCATTCCAAAGAGGGTTACACTTTGTGATTTCCTTGATCACGTGATTACCCTGCATTTCTCACCATGCTTGGTTCGGGTGGATAACGGCTCCAGTTTGTACTTCCCGAGATCCCAAGGACTGAAGCAGGGGACAGTTGGCAGCACCAGGGCCGGGAGAAGGAGAAGCCTGGGTGTGGGTGTTTGTGAGGATGGTCCAAAGCAGAGGGGATTTGAGACTTGCTGGAAGAGCACTTGTGGCCTCCGAAAGGAGCGAAGAAGACCCCAAAGCCCAAGCTTACCTGACTTTTTGAAAGCACTATAATCCATACTTCTTTATCCTTTGGAGATCCTGTGTATTTTGGGGAGGGGCATTGAATGTTTGCATAGGAGTAGAATGTGGATAGAAGGTCTGATTTTCTCTCGATGGGGGTCTCAGCTTGGTTTGTGGAGTTTCAAAAAAAAAAAAAAAAGAGCCCTGGAGCCACCAACGTGGGCCTCATTATTGTCTGGGCCCCTTGCTCTCCTGGCTTGTTCTTGATCTAGAGATTCAGACCACTTGTCTTCTCCTTAAAATTTTTGTTTTTTCTAATGAAACTTTAATCCTCAGTTACTCTCGGAGCGTGCCCTTGGCTTTCTGCAAGGAATAGCTCTTTTCTCAGGAGAGAGCTGTGGGAGACCCAGAATCCTTTGAAAAGAGAAGAGCTTGCTCTGCATTTTTGCTGTTGGCTGCAAGGAGGGTGGTGGGGAGAGGTTTCATCTTCATAAGTCGATGGCACCTCGGGCTGCCGTGCACACAAAACATGGAAACGTATTAAAAAGCTTATCGATATCTCCCAGCTCCTGGTTGTTTGACTTTTCAATGCACGGTGTCATATTTTTGGATATCAGATTTGGCATTTTAGTTGTGCTTGGCCCAGACCCAAGGTAACATCAAGGTGTTTTCCCCAAGCACAGACTCACTGCACAGGCCCCCAGGCTGACGCCCAGAGCATGGAGGCCACTTCTTGCCCAGCGTCTCTCTGAGACATGGCAGAGCTGATGCTCAAATTCTGATCTCCTGACGTTTCAGCCCTGGAGATTTAACCTTTCCTGTGGATGAATGATGTGCCTTAAACTGAACGTTGGCCTATTGTGAGTGTGACCGTACCCTTGAAGCCCAGAGAGATGGTAGAAAGAAGGAGAGGGGGCCAGAAACTTGGAGGAGGCCTGTCTGGTGTCAGCTGGCAAACCTCAAACAGCAGCAGCCTGAGCACTCGGGAGAGGCCTCCAGTGGAGTCATAGCTCTTTGGGTCTGAGATGAGGATTCATCAGAATGCACAGGCCCTTAACATCGCCTCCCAGGGACAGGCTGGGGGATGGGGCAGCAGAGGAGGCCGGCAGGGGGACATCTGCCTGGAATAGCGATGGCCAGTCTGTTCTCCTAATGGAGAAATAGAGGTGAGCCCAAGAGGGCTGATGTCTACACCTCCTGCCCTACCAGCTGCCTGAGTTCATCCAACCGTCTCAGGCCTGACGTGTTCTGGAGCCCCATCCTGGGACTTGGTTGGGGGTCAAAGCCAGGAGGAGACACTTCCTACTCTCCAGGAACTTCCAGCTTGATCCAGTGTCCAGACACACCCAGTGACATCCCTGGCCACGAGCCACAAAGAAAGAACCAGAGATCCTCAGGGTCTGAGACACTGTGGGGCAGGAAGCAGGGGATGTGTATGTGTGTGGGGAGGGAGGGTAGGGAAGGGGGGCAGAGGGAGTGCTGAGCAAAGGCAAATGGGAGGAGGGGTGTGGGGTAGCCTATGTGTCCACGTGGGATAGTCCTGGGAGGCCTCAGGCGGCAGACTTGTCTCCATTGGGTGGAGCCTGCATCTGGGAAGGTGAGCATCTGGGTGGAGGGGTTGCACAGGGCTGAGGAGCAGCTGGGGAAAGAGAAGATGGAGGAGCCTGTGCCTGACATAAGGAACACATGCATATGCTGGGAAGTGGTGTGAACCAGGCAGTGGGGGATGAGAGCTACGAGTCTGGGATTCTGGCTGCTGGGGAGGGGGGTTTGTGGAGTGGGGAGAAAGAGGTCATGTGGGGATCTGGAGCTGTGGTCCAGGCCTGAGGGGTCTGAGCTGGAATCAGGCTACGGAAGTGGACAGGAAGAGGCAGAATCACTGGAGGGCTGGGAAACACTGCATGGGGTTGGAAAGGACTGGCCAACTGGAGATGGGGCCAGAGGGCTCCGAGTGTCCGACTTGTTGCAGGTACAAAGACAGTGTTGTTCACAAGATCACGTGTCTTTGCATAGCAGCAGCATTTATTGAAACAAGGATTGAGACAACCCAGAAGGCGAGGCACCCACAGACAGTCATAGCAAGAGGGAGACCCAGGTAGCGGCCTCACCTGCTCCATCCCACCCACTCAGCACTGGACAGATCCCTCCTGCACCGGCAGGGGGCGACCTTGGAGCAACCATGGTGTCTTCTTTGAAATGTATAAAGGCGTATTGAATAGCAAGACCTGTCCAAAGTCCGAAGAATTTCCCCCATAATGGGCCTCTCAACTGGGAGGTCACAGGAGGAGTTTGGCTGGAACAGGTTAACCCAGAAGAAGGCAGTTGGTTAGAGAGACAAGCAAAACACAAACAAAAATGACCAAGGGGCAATTCTTTCCTGCAGAGACCTTCCCGGCCAGGAGAGGGGAGCTGCTGGAAGTGGCGGGGTGCTGCTTCCTCTCTGATTCTCAGGCTGTGGGAGACCAGGCTGTAGAGTTAGGCTTATTCCTTGTGCCAGGAGAAGGTCAAATTTTCAGCATGTCCAGCGGCCCTGGGTGACGGGTAGGGTCCCAGAGAGCCTGGTGAATAATACAAATTGGCCACTGGTATTTAGGAGTCAAATCGGAATTGAGTAAAAGGGCTGGGAATGACTCTCTCTAACTGAAGCCTGTTGGAGAACCAGGAAACAACTCCCTAAAGTGAGAAGGTGGTGGAGAGCAGTGGAGGGTCTTTCCCTTGGAGGAACACGTGGAGGATTCTGGCAGCAAGCACACATTTTCCATTCACACACCATTCCGTGCCCGGGGGACACAGGCGGGGCCTCAGACTCTAGGCAAAGCGGACGGACCTGCTCCCGCAGCGGAAACTGGAGACGCGGGGCTGATAGGGGGCGCAGGACTCGGGCGCCATCACTGTGATGCTGCCCCCAGTGGCCACGGGGCCAGAGGCATTCTGGCGGCCCAGGGTGGTGCTATACTTGAGTCCCCCCAGGTGACTCCACCGCGGGAGCTGCTGACGCCTGTGGGAAGAGAGGGGACAGGAAGGGCTGAGTGGCCTGTTGTGATGTCACCAACCCCAGGACAGGCCCTAAGGGCTTCTGCACCGCAGGAGCTTCCTCCTCCTCAAAGGGGTTTAGTGGTTCATAACTCAGACTCTGTTCTTCTCAGCATCTCAGCCTTCTAGGGCAGGGGTTCCCAACCCCTAGGAACCGGGCCACACAGCAGGAGGTGAGCCATGGGTGAGCAAGCGATGTTTCATCTGCTGCTCCCCACATCACTCCACCATCATCCCCCCGCACCCCACCTCCGTGGAAAAATTGTCTTCCACGAAACTGGTCCCTGGTGCAAAAAGGTTGGGGACCAATGTTCTTGGGCACCTGGGTGAGAAGGAATCGAGGACCCCTACACTCAGAGGGGCAAAGTTACTGTGCCCTTATTACCCTGGCCTGCAGTTCACATCGCCACCAGTGGATGGCGCTCAACTATGCCTTTGTTTAGTGCCTCCAGGGAAGAGTGGGGCAGGAGGGGGGCATGAAAGTCCCCCTCCCTCCCAGGCCCGGAACATTCCGGGTTTAGTGGGTTAGACTGTCAGGTTCAGATCTGCCCATCAACAAAGCCATTTTTCTAGGGGTGCTTCAAGCGGGTACTTACAGACATTCACAGAGCCCACACCTTCGCACAGCCTAAGGGGAAAGAAAACTCCGTTCATTCTGGGCACTGAGCTGGATTCCTTGAGGCAGATGGTTGCTTGGCCACAGAGAGGGCCTTCCTGTGTACAGATCCAACCCCCAAGAGGCAGGAAGTGCTCCCGCAAAGTCTCTATTAAATGCTCACTCTCTTTAACTGTTCTCTGACCACAGAGACAAGGCCTTCTGATTTTCAGCAGAGGTGAGTGAGTTTATGAACTCCACCCGTGGCCTCCAATCTGAATGGCGTGGCCCACCCTGGATAGTGCCGATCAGGCTCACAGAAAGGAGAGTCGAATTGAATGCAGCAGCGTGTGTGAAAGGGCTTGATGCCAAGGAAGAGCTACAGCCGCAGGGTGCATCATTCTTATAATGCACCCGCCTCCGGGGCAGGCCACGCTTCAGTCTCCTTTAGGAAGCTACTGGAAGACAATGGATTTTAGAGCCATATGTCTTGGGTGCAGGTCCTGGCTCTTGTGCTTGTTAACCGTGTGGCCACGAGAAAGTCACTGAACGCTGGGCCTTCTTTCCTTATCTTTGGATGGGAAAAATGATACCTACCTCACTGGACTGGGAGGATTAAAATGAGCACCTAGCACAACCCTAATAAGCATTCAGTAAATTATCATTATTATTGAAGCTTGAGTTGTGCTAGCAGTGGGCAGAGATACAGCTCACATTTGGGCTCAGCAAAATTCACTGCCAGAGGACCAGGGCCTCCCCCTTCTAGACCCCGAGGTCTCCCTTAGCCCCACCTGTGCTCCTCGCTCTCCAGCAGGCGCCTGTAGGTGGCGATCTCGATGTCCAGGCCCAGCTTGTAGTTCATCACCTCCTGGTACTCCTTGAGCAGGCAGGCCATGTCCCTCTTGGCTTTCTGCAGGGCCTCCTCCAGCCCGGCCAGCTTGCAGTGGGCATCATTAAGGGCCACCTCGCCCTGCTGCTCTGCCTTGGGCACGGCAGCCTCCAGCTTGGCCCGCTGTGGGGAAGGAGATGTGAGGACGTGCAGGAGAGAGAGAGAAGGTGCAACTTGGCTCCCCTGAGCGGAGGGAGCTGGGGCAAGGGTCCCAGAGAAAAGGTAGGTTAACTACCTATAAACAGGTAGTTAATGGGACTATGAACACGAGGGAGGAATGGGCACTTTTCACCACCTCTCCTTTGGTGGTGTTGCAGGGTGGCCAGGGAGGGGGAACATCAGTGATACAGCTCATCCCAGCTCCAGTGCTGTGTGACGTGCCAGGGGCCCTGCCCTCTCTCTGGACCCCTGCTTCCTCACGGGCACATTCTGAGGCCTGATTAGGGCCAGGCCTTTGCTCTCCTGCTGGCAAAGGGCCTGGTGCTGCGGTCTCCCTGTGCTGGGTATTCAAGCTCTCCCGGAACCCATACCTGGCACTTGGCATTTTCAACCTCGGCCGTCAGCCTCTGGATCATGCGGTTCAGCTCGTTGATCTCCTCCTTGGTGCGGCGCAGGGTCTCCCTGTGCCGGATCACCGTGGCCTTCATCTCCTCCCACTTGGGGGAAGCAGAGATGCTCCTGAGGCTCAGGATGGGCCATCCCGTCCATTCAGGACAACACGGATGATCGTGCAGGTTGTACAGTGCTCAGCCTGTGCAGCCAGACATGGCAGCCCCACCCTGATGCCCAAATTGAGATCTGTCAGTCCTTTTCTTACCATCCCTCAAGATCAAAATCCCCAGACAAAAGAAGCCTTTTCTAATATACACCTTGCATCCTTCCCAGTGCCATGTCTAGGAGGCAGATGTCCTGGGCGACTCACCTTGCTGCGGTACCAGGACTCAGCCTCGGCCCGGCTGCGGCTGGCAACATCATCGTACTGAGCCTTGATCTCGGCGATGAAACAGTCCATGTTCAGGTCCCGGCTGTTGTCCATCTTGACGAAGACTGAGGTGTCTGAGATGTGGGCGTGGAGGACCTGGAGCTCCTGGGAGGCCGAGAGCCAATGCATTTGGTCCTGGTGCCTTGTCTGGGCCACGTGCTCCACCCCTGGGGGCCATGTCCACTCCCTGGAGTGGGCACTGGTCATGTATGATACATGACTCCCACTCCCTTTCATTCACACAGAGGTACATCATAAGACAGTAAAGCTGGGAGGGGCTTTGGAGGTCAGCTGGGGGCAGTCCACGACTTAACAAAGGGGGAAACTGAGGCCCAGCATTTGAAAAAGGACTGACTCAAAGTCATTCAGCAAGAGAGCTGGGGTCTGAATGCCGGGACTAGTGATCTGTCCAGGAATTAAGACCCCCTCTCTAACTGGAAACTCACCCTACCCCCCTCCCACATACACTCTTTCATATCCATGTAGAGACCAACACGCACAAAGGCCAGCACACAGGCACACACGCTGCAACACCCAGGGGCTCACCAGCACAGAGAGGCCCAAGCACACTCGAGCACCACCGTCCTTGGGGCTTACCTGCACGTGTCTGTGACAGCTACACGACAGGCCCCTCTTGCCAGTGCGTGCATGTTCTTTACATGTACATGCTTCCATCACTCAGGGGGCAAATGTGCACACAACACCTCCCCCCACTCCTCACGCCTTCCCTCCCTGCTTCCTGGCTGGCTGGCAAGGGCCTCCTCACCTCGTCATAGAGGCGCTTCAGGAAGCTAGACTCCTCCACCAGAGCCTCCATGTTGGCCTCCAGGTCTGACTTCCGCAGTTAGGTGCAGTCCACGTCCTGGCAGTGGGGCGAAGAGGAGGGGGTGTGCATGTGGGAAGAGGCCCCCGGAAGGTGCCTCTGCGTCAGTGTGGTGACCCACCACGGTGCAGGCTGCACAGAGGGTGCCCCTCCCTCCCTGCCCTGTGACCAGCCCCTCACCTTCTTTAGAACCATGAACTCGTGCTCTGCTGTGGCCCTCAGAGCCCCCTCCTCTTCATACCTGGGGGTGGGGGAGACAGGGGCTGGAGGTGAGGGGTCGGGGCTTGGCAACCATCTCAGCTCCTGGGCAAGCTCTTCCTGGGCTCAGAAGGGATGAACTGCAAATGTCATCCTGTCCTCTCCTTGGTCTATTTTGGGCATTGTTCGTGGGCTAGCCCTGTCCCAGCCTGGCTTATTCCACCCCACTCCTGCTGCCTCTGGATGAGTAACACTCCATTCCCCAAGTCTAAAATCATCTGTGCATCTTAGATCCAAAGAGAGGTGGTGCCACGGGCAGGAAGGGCACGGAGCCCGTGTCATGAAGGTGAGCGGGAGTGGAGGAACAAGAAAGCTGTAGAACCCCATAGTGGGTTTCCTTACTCCCCCGAAAACAGCTCTGAGACTCACGGGCCTCCACGGGGTTGAGGTGGAGCCAAAGAGTCTGAAAAAATCTAGGCCCCTCCTGACTATCCCCTTGGGTCCCAGGCAGCCCCTGTTGACAGACAGGCAGGAATCTTAATGAAGCTGCTTCAAGAGGCTTGTGGGTGGAGCTTTCCCACTGCCCCTGTTATTCTGGGTCCGGCGCACTCACTTCTCCTTGTAGCCCTCCAGCACCTCCTGCACGTGGCTGAGCTCCGAGGCCAGCCTCCCGCTGTCGGCCTCGACACGCTCAGCCTCCCGCCTCAGCGTCTCCACGTAGCTCTGGAACAGGGGCTCCAGGTTGCTCTCGCGGCACTGGAGGTTCTGGTGGAACTGCCACTTGGTCTCCAGCAGCTTGTTCTGCTGCTCCAGGAAGCGCACCTGCCGCCCAGGGTGGGAGAAGGAGACTCAGGAGGAGACTGGGGAGGTGCCTGCCTCCCCAGAGCTCTCTCTCCCTCTGCTCTGATGTTCTCTGAACAGCCAGGGCCAGGCGAGGGCTGAGCCATGGAGTGTCTGCGACTCAGCGGGCCTTGCTCCCAGCCCCCTAGGGAGGCACTGTGGGTGTGAGTGCCCCCGGCTTGAGGCCAAGGGTCTGATTCAGCTCCCAGGTCTGCCACTGTAACAGCAAGTTGTCTAACCTCTGGGTGCTTGGTTTTCTCATTTCCAAAACGGAGATGATAATAGTACCTTCCTTAAAGTTGTAAAAATTGAACAAGTTACTATATGTAAAGCGCTTAGAACAGTTTCTGACACACAGTAAGTGCTCAATCAGTTGAACTATGGCTCGTTAATTATCAGTCATTCTTCATTTATTCATTTATGCAGCAAACATTTATTGAATATTTACTATGTGGTGCCAGGACTTGTACTAAGATACACACACACACACACATCTTTGTCTATGTCTGTACCTATCAATCAATTTTATTCAATTCTCACAATGCTTTGGGGGGAGATCTTATTTCTCCTATAGTACAAAAGTGGAAACAGAGACCCCAAGGTGTGAAGTGACTAACTTATTGTCTCATAATTAGTAAGGAGTCAGGATCTCATGTCCCTTGAGTCCCCTTCACTTGCCTGTCACCATAGTCTGTCTAAGCTGCTCACTAAACTCTCAGCTTCAATTTGTTATTCAAAAAATAAAGATGATAATATCTACTCCATTGAGTCATGTTGAGGATTAACTGAGATCACTAAAGAGAAAGGGGTAATAAGAAGGTACCCCTGTTGCCCCCGATCCCAGACCCCAGAGCCTGGTCCTCCTTCCTCAGCTGGAGTAAGGCCTCAACGACACAGTAGGAGCCGACATGAGGGGAGATGCAGAGGTGGCCTTTCTGAGAGGCAGCCTCAGGGCAGTTCCGGGTTTCTCACGCTCTGCACTGGTGGGCCTCCTCCCGCCATCCTGGCGGCCTTGCCTTCCCCATTCCCAGCTCTGCATCCATGAAGGAGGCTGCCAAGCCTGCTTGGTTAACTGTTACACCTCCTCGCCCACTACTGTCCTTGGAAAAGAATGCTAACAGCTAACGTTTATCAAGCACTTATTGTGTGCCTGCACTGTCCTTGCATGAACCCCGTGAATCCTCACACCACGCATGTGAGGCCGGACAAGCAGCCCGCATGAGGACTCGCGCGGCGGAGGGGCAGAGCGAGGGTGGGGAGGCAGCGTGGCTCTGAGCAGCACCCTAACCACTTCCGGAGCTGCAGCACCCTAACCACTTCTGGAGCGGCCCCACCGCAGGAGTCTCCTCTCCCCACTGTCTCCCGCTCTTCCAGTACCCAGTGCGCTGTGTTTCAGCGGCAACTCTGATATTCCCATGCTGTCTTGTCTCGGGAAACACGCACACTTTAGACTATAGACTCAATTTCTGGACCACAATGGGTGTCCGATATACTTTGCAGGAATTAAACGAGAAGACAGATCCTTCCACGCATTTTGGTCTGCATTTCTCTCCCGCTGCTGGCTGCCATGCTGGCTCCCCTACAGATCCTCCTGAGGGGAGGGCGGGGCTGCGGCTGTCTCTGGACCATCCCAGGCCTCACTGACCTTGTCGATGAAGGCAGAGAACCTGCTGTTGAGACACTTGATCTGCTCCTTCTCCTCGTGTTTCACACACTGTGCGTTGGGGTCGATCTCCAGGTTGAGGGGCGCGAGGAGGCTCTCGTTGACCGACACGGTGGTGATGCAGGGCGGCCTGGGGCCGCACACGCCGCCGAAGCGGTACCCGAAGCTGCGGCCGCAGGAGCCAGCGCGGAAGCCGCCCCCCGTTATGCGGGGCCCACAGGATCCCAGGGCTGAGACGCTGCGGCTGCCGAAGCCCGTCAGCCCCCGGTAGCAGGACATCCCTCGGCAAGGGGCAGCGCTGAGGCAGCAGCGGCTGCCAGTTTTGGGGGCCACAGCTGAGCACGAGCTGAAGGTCCTGGTGACCCCACATCCCGGGCTGACCCTGTAGGAGCGGCAGGTCATGGTGTGGGTCTGAGCGGATGGAGGCTGAGCGCGCTGGGGTGCCGAGGGTGGCGGGTACACTGCTTAGGACGCTTCTGGCTCCTCTGATCCTGGTCCTTTTATTGGTGGGGAGAGCTGGGCTTGGCTGCATGAAAGGAGTGAAAAGTCATTTTATGTTGTTTATTGGCTTGGGGAGTTTGCCAGCAACTCCCCAAGGACTCGTCTTAAAGGTCAGCTCAGTGGCAACTCTGGGCCTCCCTAAAAGTATTGAAGATGTTATTAGGGATACTGTGTGCTTGCACTTTTCATCTTCAAAGCTCGTTTACATACATTAGGTAATGAATTTTCTTGCAGTCTCCCTGTGAGATGGCCTTCACCCACACCTGGAGGCGGGTTTGAACTCCACAACAGTCTGAGGTGGCTGGGCATGGAGTAGGGGCTGGGACCACTGTCTCCAGGGAGAAGTTCTAGGGTCCCAGGTTGGGTGAGACCACCAGCGGTCATCACCTCTGTCCTCTTGGCTCCACACTGAACACATTCTCAAGTAAATCGATGTGTTTCAGGGGCTGATAGATCAGGTGAGTCAAACCCACTCAGGCAACATTGCTTGGAGGTCGTTCAGGTCCAGAGGGGCCATTTTGACCATGCTCCCTGCAGAACAGAGGGCTGGAGCACGTGGTCCCTTAGAACCTTCTGGATTCCACCCTAGCAGTTTCTGTTCCAGAGCCTTCATTTCTCACCCGCAGAATTGCAACTCTCAGTGGCCACAGTGACGGCCCCTTGTGGATAAGGGGGCGCCTCCCTTTAGCCACTTTCTCCCACTTGGCTGAAAGGATGGCAGAAGCCGGGATAACCTCGCTGCTACGGACTTGCTCTGGACACCGTCCCTGGGTTCTTTAAGAAGAAACATGCCCTGTGAGTCTCACTTCCTTCCAAGACCACCAGCCAGGGCAGGGGCAGGGGCTCAGCCTGTTTGTCAGCTCCAGAATTGTCGCCCCTAGAAGAACATTCAGAGACTGCTCTGCACAGAGACGGGGGTGGGAAGGTGGCTTTTTTTTTTGTCCAAGGACACTGTGATTTCTGGCTCCTGGGGGATCTGAAATCGTCGTTCCTTCTAATATCCCTGCATCCCTGTGTGTCCTGGGGCCATTTACTAGGATAATGGTGGTTAGTCTTTAATGTTCATTGAGCACAGACCTAGGGATGTGATCTGTGCTGAGGGAGGATAGCCAGGCCCCTGAGGGGTCAGGAACTTCAGGAAGAAGAGCTGAGGAACTTCTTCTGAGGGTGACAACCCCTCCAGGGAGCCTCCCGGAACCGCATGCTGTCCCTGTGCCACGGTTCCCTGAATCCTCCCTCAGATGCCCCACGTTCTGTCCTGGGTCTGCCCTTGTCTTCACAGCCAGATCCACTGCAGGTCTTTGCCCAGCACCAAGCTGACTGGTTTCTATCTCCACATCCCAAGCCTGTCCTTCCAAGTAGGGCAGAGACTTTGGGTAGGCAAGGAGCAGGAGACCTCACTAGCTGGCCCCAAATAGTCTTCAGATCATACAGTCACCCATGGTGAAGCCGCTGGCATTTAGCAATCTGGGCAATGGAATCCAAATTGGAGGACCTGGTATAAATGTCAGCTTGGACACTTCCTAGCTGTGTGGCTTTGGGGAAGCTCTTAACCTCTCTGAGCTTCTGATTCCTTGGCTGTAATGTGGGATTCATTCTTATCTTCTGGGGTTGTTGGGGGGATGAAGTGGATAATATACAAGAATGTGCTTTGGGGACCAAAAGGGTCTGTATAAAGGAAAGGGACTCTTGCTTCCCATCAGAAACTCCCCTGCCACCCCCTGCACCCCCCACCCAGCAGAGAGTGGGCCTGCTCCTTGCCCCGTCCACAGCCTTCACTTCCTCTGCACATTTATGATTTCATTATCCTTTCAAGGTTGCTTTTAATGTTTTCTTTAACCTGTTTTCCCTAGTGTACAAATTTGGGGTGGAGTCTGGGGTGGAGAAAGGAGGCTATACTGGGGAGACAGGGGATGGTTTCCCAGCCCCCACCCCTCAAGTGGGGCCCTGTGGGCCTGGATCCAGGGATGGATTCTTGAGCCTTGGACAGTGAGCTCACTGACTGATGGTGGTGTAGACCTGGATGGCGTGGTGTGGCCAAGAGGGATTCAGACCCTTTGAAAGTGAGGAGGGTGGGGCCTGAGCATGGGAGGTGGAGGAGGGATGGGCCCTCCGCTCTGCCAGCCTGGAGAGCCCATAAAACCTCATTCGCTTCTCAACTCCTGTGAGCCTCTGCTCTCCTTCAGCCTATTGAAGAGGATGGAAAACCCATGTCTGCCTCTTGGTAGCGGGAGGGAGCGGAGGCTTAGCCCCAGAGGGAGGTTCTTGTGTCAGCTGTCCCCTCAGGCCCCCAACACACACACACACACACACACACACGCACACACCCCGCAAGCCTCCACCTCAAATTGGGCCTAGGCACTGAGGATGGGGAAGGAGAGCCAGCGGACTCAGGAGACCTAGAGATACCCCACTGCCTTCAGAAATAAAAGACCCATCCAGGACCAGCAGGACTATTCAGAACCAGGGTGTGAGCCCCTGGGTGGGTGTGCCGGGAGTGAGGGCAGGGCCCGCCCAGCACAGGGATGTGCTCGTGGGCGCTGGGTGAAGTTTGCATCACTGCAGGTGGCAGCAGAGCCCAGGGCCAGTGGGGAATGCTCGGGAAGACCATCCACATGGTGCTTCGGATTGAAGGGGCTGGGCTGGAGCGGGAGGCTGAGTCCTTATGGGGCTGTTCCCAGGTCATCCTGGGCAAGTGAGAAACTCACAGATCAGGCCAATCTGGCACAACGCCCTGGAGGGTTTGTGTAGACCTATGGGACCTGGGTCTTTTCCATCTGGTTCTACCCAAGGGAGGCACAGAGAACCCATAGAACCATGCCCATCTCTACCCATCATCCAAACACACTGCTTAGTGAGACCAGATCCTTGTCTGGGTGCTGGGGTGGGATCTGGATCTCTCTTTACTGGCCTTCTCCTCATTTACTGCCCACATGTGCCCTGTGGGTTCTCCGGCCCCCTCTCCCTATCCCCAAGCCTTCTCCCTGGTCACACCTTTGCCTGGAATGTCCCGGAACAGCCGGCCACCTCTTCCAGGAAGTCTTTTTGGACTAGTCAGAGGAAGGCTGTGATTTCTCCTCCTCTGGCTCAGCAGGCAGCTCACTAAATGCCCTTTCCAGGGCTGCCCGGTTAACTCCAATTAGCCTCCTCCACACCCTCTTGTCCTGGGTGCTGGCATTCATCATGCTCTTTGGTCCTGTCCCATTGTGCTCCCCCCACCTTTTGAAAGCCACACCCAGTGTCAGAATGTCCACTCGAAAACCCATGGCCCTCCCATAATTTAAAATACTCCCGAGAGGCCACTTTTTCCAGGAAGTCTTCAAGCGCTAATTGGCTGAGAGAGGTTTCCTACTCCACCCTGGCAGCTTCCATGACTCCCTTTGAATCTGCTCCATTCCTGGAGTCCCTCTCCTGGGGCTCCCCAGAGGCCTCACCGCTCATACTCACACCCACGGCTGATGCTCCATCCTCCTCCCGCATGTTGCCTAAGCTGGGATGCCTGCTGGGGACACGCGTGCTCTTCCACCCACCAGGCACTCACTACCTGCCTTCCCTTCTGCTTTCTCTACTGTGCTTAAAATCTCCCTGCTCCTAGGAGGGCTTCCTGGATTTGTCCAAAGATGGGAGAGCGCTGATACCTTCTCGTCTTGCCCTACGTGTCCTTAGAGCTGCCTGTTGACCCGGCTGACTAGTTCTCTGGGATTGACCCTGAGAGCTCCCATGGGCCTGTCCTGATCAGGGCCTTGGTAGCTGCCCACACAGTTCATTCAAGTTGGGCATCTCCCCTCATCTCTGCCGGTCTTTTCCACAATTTTATTATGCGTCCAGATCTACGCCACCTCCTGATGCTGGGACACAGTTCTTGAAGGGTCTTTTAGCCCCGTGACACTTCCTCTGGCTTTTGCAAGACTTGGGTGTGACTCAGAGACCCTATGTGAGAGGAGTGAGGTCAGAGCAGCAGAGAGGCGTTGGATGAACGCTGGACCCTCCCAAGCGCATCTGGGGCTGGGCCCCTCATCCAGCTGGCAAAGCCGCTCCCTGGGCCACCCCATCTTTCCTCTCATGGGCTTCCCTGCCAGAAACTCTAGACTCTCCTCCCGAGCCCTGTCCACATGCCTTCCTGCAGGCAGCTTTCTCTCATGGCTTTGCTGTTTCCTGTGGCTATTCTGGGCCAGAGCACATGCTCAGTAAATACAGAGCCTCAAATTTCAAAATTGGACCATATTAATGGTTTTGAAATTTTCTTCCTCTCCTCCTCCTCCCCCTCCTCCCCCTCCCTTCCCCTCCCTCGTCTTCTCTTCCTTCATCTCCTTCTCTTCTTCTTTAGCAGTAGAACCATTTCCCTAAATCTTAGGAGGAAAACAGCTATATAAACCTGCCTGTCTATCTATCTATCTGTCTGTCTGTCTGTCTGTCTGTCTATCTATCCAGCTATACAAACAGATAAGATGGACATGATGGGGCTTCTCTGGTGGTGCAGTGGTTGGGAGCCCGCCTGCTGGTGCAGGGGACACGGGTTCGGGCCCCGGTCTGGGAGGATCCCACGTGCTGCGGAGCGGCTGGGCCCGTGCACCACAACTACTGAGCCTGCGCTCTAGAATCCGCGAGCCACAACTACTGAGCCTGAGCTCTGGAGCCCACGAGCCACAGCTGCTGAGCCGGCGTGCCTACAGCCCATACTCTGCGGTGGGAGGGGCCACCACAATGAGAGGCTCGCGAGCAGCAAGGAAAAGTAGTCCCTGCTTGCCACAACTAGAGAGGGCCCGCGCACAGCAATTAAGACCCAACAGCAGCCAAAAATAAATAAATTAATTTATTAAAGAAAAAAAGGTGGACATGCTGATCTCTGCTTGCCCTGCCCACCCCCACTCCAGTGATCCCCTTAAGACACTGAGCTGCGCCACTCCTCTGCTCAAATGCCCCGATAATTCTCCATTTCACTCAAAGCAAAAAAAGAAAGAAAAAAAAAAAGTTCTAATGATGCACCGCCTGTGCCTGTTGTTACAGTTCTCACCTCATCCCCTTGTTCTCGTCACCCACACCGGCCTCCCTCTGCTCCTCAGACACACCTGGCCCACTCCTGACTCAGGGCCTTTGCACTGACTGGCCCTTCTGCCCTGAATGCTGTTCCCTCCGCCACATGGCCCGCTCCGTTGCCACCTGTGGCTCTTTGCCCAAACATCACTACTCAAACAGGCTTCTCTGGCATTTCTTTTAAAAATGGCAACCTCCCTTCTCCCTCCCAGAGCGTTCTCCATCCAGCTTATCCTGCTCTGATCTATTTCTTTGTTCCATAACACTTAACACCTTCTAGCACACCCTATAATTGGCCTGTTTGTTCTATTTCTTGATGATTATCAGTCTTTCCTCTCACCCCAAAATAAACTCCATGGAAGCAGGATTTTTGTCCATCTTGTTCACTGATGGTTCCCAAGCACTTGGAACAGTGTTGGGGATAGAGTAAGTGCCCAGTAAATACTTGCTGACTGAATGACTGTGTAAATGAATGGATGTCTTGGATACTTTAAATATTTTATGTGTGGCGTTAAATGCCACTGATGGGAAACTGGCCCTTGAGTCCGGAGGAGCACACTTAGTTTGAGAACCATGGCGCTCAGAGCCCTCCATGGCTCTTTCCTGATTCAAGCCTGTGGTTTTCTGAGCATCTGTGGGAACACAGGCTGACAGAGCCACGGGACGGTGAAAACAGTGCTGTGCTGGGCTGGTGAGTGGGGGGTGGATTTCTTTTCCTAAAGTTGCTATTCAGTGTTGCAATGTTTGTGTCCTAAACACAGTTTTGGAGAAAACAATTTGTTTTTAAAAGACTCCCCTCTCATAGCACAGGGAACTGCACTCAGTATTTTGTAATAAACTATAAGGGAAAAGAATCCGAAAAGGAATATTTATATATATATTTGTATATGTATATAGAAATGAGTCTCTGTGCTGTACACCTGAAACTAACACGATATTGTAAATCAACTATACGTCCATTAAAAAAAAAACTTAGGGAAATTGATTTAAAAAAAAAAAGGAAAGAAAACGAAACAAAAAACTCCCCTCTCCCTCCACAAAATCCTATTGCGGGAGTGCTTTGAAAATGCCCTGGTGCGGTGTCTCCAGGGAAGTTGGTGGCCAGCAGAGGGCAGCAAAGCCCCACAGGCAGCCCCGCAGAGGCTCAGTCCTAGTTGCCGGAGCTGGAAAGGCTAGGGAGCCGCCTGCCTGCGGATCAGAGCTGGCGCTTCGGTGCAGACGATGCAAACAGTCCGCTGACACCTCGGTATCCACCCTTGTTTGGTCCTGGAGTGGCTGAGCTGCTGAACACAACTCTTCTCCATTAGCAGTAAAACTAGAACCACCACCACCATCACCATCAAAACAGCAGCAACGGTTTACTGTGCATCACCATGTGCCAGGCTATGTGCTAATAATCTTTGAAATAGGAACTATTTTCCATTTTACAGATGAGGCAAGAGGCTTAGTGAGATTGTGACAGACAGAACAGCATGGTGGTGATGAGTGTGAGTTTTGGAGTCAGAGTGCCTCTGCTTTGACCCCTGGGCCTTGATTTTGTCATCTGTCAAAAGGGAAATTATTAAAGTGCCTACTGCGTAAGATTGTTGAAAAAGTCAAGTTAAGACACAAAACACACTTGAAACTCTTCTCAGTTCAATCTATAAGTATTATTCTTGCCTATTATTACTTTTGGTCACACAGCTATTTTAAGTAGAGAGCCTGGGATTTGAACCGGGGTCTGTGAGTCCACAGGTTTGAACCTTATGCCATCTTTGGGGGAGAATCAATGTCTTAGCAATATTGAATCTTCCAATTCATGAACATAGTATGTATCTCCATTTATTTAGGTCCTCTTTGATTTCTTTCATTATTGTTTTATAGTTTTTAGCATACAGATCCTTTTTAAAGGCTGATACTTAGGTATTTCACTTTTTGGGTGCTATTGTAAATGTTAAAAATACTTTAAAATGTTTTAATTTCCAACCGTTCTTTGCTTTTATAGAAATGCAATTAGTTTTTGTATATTGAGCTCACGTCCCATAATCTTACTAAACTCACTTATTAGTTCTAGTAGGTTTTAGAAAAAAGATTCCTTGGGGTTTTCTAAATAGAAAATTATGTCTTCTGAAAATAGAAAGAGTTTTATTTCTTCCTTTCCAAACCATATGACTTTTATTTCTTCTTCTTGCCTTAGTTCACTGGCTAGGCCAGCTTGTGTAATACTAAGGGTGGTGTGAACAGATACCATTATCTTTTCCCAGTCTTACAGCAGAAATCATTCAGCCTTTCACCATTAAGTATGTTGTTAGCTGTAGGATGTTGCTTTGTTATTTATTTATTTATTTATTAGATGCCATTTAGGTCAAGGAAGCTCTCATCTATTCCTAGTTTGCTGAGAGTTTTTATCATGCCTGGAGGTTGAATTTTGTCAAACCCTTTAGTGTATCTATTAAGATAATCATATGATTTTTCCTTTTCAGTCTGTTGATGTCATGAATTACATTAATAGGTTTTTGAAAGTTGAACCAGCCTTGCATTCTTAGGATAAACTCATTGTGATGATGTGTTATCTTTTATTTGTTGCTGTATTCAATTTACTAATATTTTGTTGAAGATTTTTATATTTAGGTTCATGACAGATACTGATTTGTAGTTTTTCTTTTCTTATTATTTCTTTGCTTGGTTTTGGTATCAGGGTAATGCTGGTCTCATGAAAGGAGTTGGGAAGTTTTCCCTCCTCTTATGTTTTCTGGAAGAATCTGGGTTGAATTTTTCCTTAAATATTTGGTAGAATGCACCAGGGAAGGCATTTGGGCCTGAAGTTTTCTTTTTTGGAAGATTTTAAACTACATGTTCAATTCTTTTAGTAGAAATACAGCTATTCAGGTAGGACTGGCTACACAGATTGTGGGGCTTAATGTAAAATAAAAATGCAGGGCCCCTTGTTAAAAATTATTAAGGAATTCAAGATGATGACAAGAGTCATTAAACCATGTGTGGGGACTTTCTATGGTGTGAGGTCCTCTGTGGTTGCACAAGACACACGTTAAGAGTTCTGGTCACAGTTCCGATGTGTTTGTGTGCGTGTGTGTGTGTGCATGGGGTTTCTTGTACCAATAAGCAGCTGGTGTCCCACAGTTCAACTCAATTCTGACACTATCTACCTGGAGATAGCATCAGATTCCACAGGTCAAGGGTTCAGTCCTACAAGACTGCCCACCCCCAACCCTGCTTTAGTTGCCAGTTGCAAACCCAGGCTGTCACCTGGACTTTTGACCAACCGGCTATAGATTGAAAGTTTCAAAGACTTCTCCTTGGCTTTGATTAATTTGCTAGAGTGGCTCACAGAACTCAGGGAAACATTTTACTTACTAGATTACCAGTTTATTATAAAAAGATATAACTCAGGAACAGCCAGATGGAAGAGATGTATGGGGGAAGGGTGCAGAGCATCCACGTTCTCTCCACGTGTGCCACTCCTCCACATGTTCACCAACGCAGAAAGTCTCTGAATCCCCCAGTCCTTATGGGGTTTTTATGGAGGCTTCATTACATAGTCAGGATTGATTGATTGATTCAACCTCCAACCCTGCTTCCCTCCCTGGAGGTTGCGGAGGGTGGACTGAAAGTTCCAATCCACTAAACACATGGTTGGGTCTCTTGGCCCCTGCAATGATCCCAGAGGAACTGGGGGCAGGGTGGGACTTGGGGAACAAGTGAAGGATTTCGCCCTGGTAGGGAGGAGGCTGGAGGGCAATGCGTGGAGAGAAGTGGGCTGCTTGGCATTTGTTTTCAGAGCTTTTGCTATATGTCTCGTCTCCCTTGCTGAGTTGTGAGCCCCTCCAGGGAGGGGCCTGAGCGCTCTTTCCTCAGTACCTCCTCTGTCCCAGGACACCAGCCTCTGCCCTTGGCAAGTCCCCAGGGGGGTGGGCTAGTGGAGTCTAGGAGGCAGGCTCCCCCATCCCCAGTGTGATTGGGAAGGAAAGGCCAGAGTCCTAGTGATGCTAGCTTGGCAAGTTTATTGAAATCCCAGCAACACAAAGAGCAGTACAGGCAGGCACCCACCCCAGCCCAGGCCTTCCTGGAGCGTGCAGACATAAACCCCCCTGCAGTGAACAGAGTTGGGCCTCCCTCACACCACCAGCAGGGGCGTGGACTGTTGCAGGGTCCATCTCTCTACCAGCACCCACCCACCTCTTGGACTCACATGCCAGGGTTACACCAGCACCCCAGGAAGAGAAGCAGCTAGGATCTATGCCACTCGGAGAAGAACCATCTCTGGGGACTCAGGGATCCCTTGGCCCACCAAAAACGGTGGATCCTTCTGGGTCAGGAAGAGAAGGAAAGGACCTTCTCCTGCCAGGGAAAGGAAGGGGAGGGAAGCAGAGGACGGTGGCTGAGACACCTGCTGTGTGGACAGCCAGCTCTCCATTCTCTAAGTTAATCCAAAGCTAGGACCAACATGCTGATTTTTGTAATTGCATTGAATCTGCATTTCTTGAGGTCTTTGGGCTGGGTGGTGAGGAGTGACCCAAAGGAAGGAAACTGGGAGTCAGGGAGAGGCCAGTCCGCTGGGGCTGTGGATGGAGCATCTAGGTGGTGAAAAAAAGCCCCCCAGAGGACACAGGCCAGGCAGAGCAGCCCTTGGCTTCTTGGCAGGATGGGTACCTAGAGCGCCCTCGGCCCAGAGTCCGGGCACTTTGGGGACAGAAGCAGAAGCCGTGGAGATGGTTCTTCCTGGTCGGTGGCTGGCCGGCGCTCGGTTCGAGGTGGTGGTGGACACGAAGTGGACGCTGGAGCCGTGGCTGCTGAAACCGCCTTCAGTGGGCAGCAGGCAGGGGACGCTGGGGGCTCAGGTCTCGCCCACAAGCACGGAGCTCCCCTCCCCGGAAGCCCGCGCTCAGCGGGTCCCCACCGCCCACGACCTGGGCCCCGCCCACATTCGAGCTCCAGAAGCCGCTGGACCGGTTGCTGCTGCGGCCCGAGATGGTGACCCCGCCGCGGGAGAGGCTGCAGGTGGTGACCAGAGGCTCGGGCCCGCACACCAGGCCGCCCCGGGAACTGCTCACTGCTGTGGGAGGATGAAACCCTCAGTGAGGCTGCCTCATCCTCCACCTCCCACTGGGGGTGGGGGGAGGGACGGGCGGTGGCAGCAGGGGAAGTGGCCTGGGTCCGAGTAGTTCCTACTGTCTACATAGTCAGTACCCACTTTTCCCTTCTCTTGTCTGGGTGTCTCAAAGGCTGTGACTCCACTGAAGTCAAACATTCGGACTAAAATGGAAGAATTCAGCCAGTTCCCCAGGTGTTGGCCTATAGCCATAAGTCCACCACCATTTATAACGGCCAAAGTCAGGTTGGGTTGAGTGAGGCGGGTAGTGATCTGGGTTACCCAGCAGCTGTGCCAGTAGCTTCTATGAAGCCACAGGGCTTCTCTCCTCCAATGACATCATGCTCCTTGGCGGTCCCCACATTGCCCATCAAAAAGGTAGTCCTGGGCTCCCCTGGTGGCGCAGTGGTTGAGAGTCCGCCTGCCAATGCAGGGGACACGGGTTCGTGCCCCGGTCCGGGAAGATCCCACATGCCGCGGAGCGGCTGGGCCCGTGAGCCGTGGCCACTGGGCCTGCGCGTCCGGAGCCTGTGCTCCGCAGCGGGAGAGGTCACAGCAGTGAGAGGCCCGCGTACCGCAAAAAAAAAAAGGTAGTCCTTCGTTCCTCCTGACCCACTGATGGCTCTGCTCTCTAGCCCTCTGGTCTTCACTGGGCACACCTCCATGACCCAGGACGCTAATCTGATTAAACCTTGCTTAGACCAGCCCCCAGGGTGGACGGCCTCCCTATCTTCCTTCTCCTCTCACCAGAATCCTTCCCGCCATCTGTGACCCACCCGGTTTAGCATACACAGCTGTGTATATTTGCGCTTTTGGATCAGAAATCTGGGTTTGAATTCTGGCCGTGCCACTGACTACCTTTGTGATTTCTGGCAAGTCCTGTATTTTCTCTGATCGAGTAAAAGGGGGTTGTGCGTGCCTATTCCTCCCCCCGGGGTTTTGAGGATTAGGTTGACGGTGGATAGGACCCATCTCAAGAAGATTATAATTCTGGAGAGGAGGGGCTGGGTCTCACCTTCTTTGTGTCCCTACCCTGCAGAGCCCAGCACAGGTCCTGAGCGCTTTGTTTGGTGGCTGTAGCCGCAGCAGCAGCAAGGGGACTTGCGTTTAGCCTTGCCATCCCCTGCCATCAGGAGGGGAGGGAACTCCCTGGCATAGACCTTTCCATTCCTCCTCTGGTCTTTGCCCTCGAAGGACAAGACCACCCAAAGCAAAAAGGCTGACTGTCTTCTGGAACCCTCTCCCACCTACCAGGCCCTGCAAACCTTTGTGATTGCTTAGCTCCAGGGAGGAAGACTCTGGTGGTGTCTCAGACCTCAGCTAAAGGGATGCTCTCAGTTTAGAGGCCAGATGGTCCCTGCTCCCCTGGATGTCATGGCCAGTCTGGCCATGGGCTCCTGACCCCAATGTGGGCTTGAGTTTAAAGGACATTTGAAGGGCCCCAGGAGAGAAATGTGTGAAGAGGAAAAGACTGAAGGTTCTTACATATGTCTACTGGTCCAACACCTTCATAGATCCTGGAGAGAGAAAGAAACAAGTTCACAAGGTGTCATTCCCTGAAAACCTAGGTGCTATCAGAGGGCTCAGTGGACCAGTGGTTCTCACCCTTGGTGGCACAAGCATCAGGGAGCTTTGAAAAATGACACGTTCCTAATCCCTGCCCCAAAACTATTGAATCAAAATATCTGAGGGAATGTCTTCTTCTTTTCTTTCTTTCTTATTTTAAAACAAGCTAACCAATCAAGCAGAACTCCCTGTGATTCTGGTGCAGCCCGTCTACAGGCTTGCACTGAGAGGCACAGATCTAGAGCCATCTTCTAAACCCCTGCCAAGGGCAAACCCGCCTAAGGTTTGCAGAAAACATAGTTACCCCTAGAGAGTGCCCATTTCAGCAATTCTTCATGTAGTTCCCTCCCCCACTTAGTCTTTCTAGAAGCCGGAAGTCTGACCCCACTCCCACCTGCTGCACTGAGAGCACTTAGTGGCTCTCCTCGCCTTCCAGCAGGCGCTTATAGGTGGCGACCTCGATGTCCAGGGCCAGCTTGACATTCATCACCTCCTGGTACTCCTTCAGCTGCCGTGCCATGTCCTGCTTGGCCTGCTGCAGGGCAGCCTCCAGCTCCGCCAGCTTGCACTTGGCGTCGCTGAGGGCTGCCTCGCCCCACTGCTCTGCCTCGGCCACAGCGGCCTCCAGCTTGCAGTGCTGGGGGGAGGGCAGTTTGCAGGTGGGCTTTGGCAGGGACTAGGGGATCCTCAGGTCAGACTAGAAACTCTGCCCCCTGTGAGTGAGCACATGGCATGGTGCTAAGCCAGGGATGGAGCCTGTGGAGGATGCTTTCCCAGGGATTGTCATCCTGTAGTTTGACGTCACCAGGGAGCAGAACATTGCTTATCGTCCATTTCTGTCCTCACTGATTTTGCACTTACTGATCTCTGCTGCTCTAAGACCAATGGGGTCCAGAGAGTAAAGTCATTCTTTCTGCCTCACCTTCCCCTCTAAGTCAGCCCCAGGTCTTTCCTTCTACATGGGAGACTCTTTCCCTGGTTCCACATTTTCCTCCCCCAGGAAGTCTTCCTGGACTAATTCTTTTATTCCTATGTTTCTGGGTCCTGGTGGCCTCCCCCACATCTTCAGACTTGGGCTCCCCAAAGCTTGGGGCCCTGCCTGTCCTCCCTGTGGGGCTTTTTCTCCTTTCTTTCGCCCACCTGAGCCTTGGCGTGCTCGATCTCTGCCTTCAGCCTCTGGATCAGGCGGGTCAGCTCATTGATCTCATCCCGAGTGTTACGCAGGTTGTCACAGTGTTGGCCAGCTGTCACCCGCATCTCCTCATACTGGGCCTCGATATCGGTGATGACCCCATCAAAGTTCAGGTCCCGGCTGTTGTCTATCTTCACGATGACTGATGTCTCAGAGATGTGTGACTGCAGCAACTGGATTTCCTGCGTTGTAGGATCAGCGAGACAGATGGGCTCAGAGTCCCGTCAGTGACCAGGGCTCTGCCACAGGGTCCCCAGGATGCGGAATCGGGGGAGAGAGCATTGCTTGTTTGTTCAGAGCAAAGCAATGGGGCAGATCATCCAAACCAAAAGCAAAGAAAAAGAGGTGGCCCAGAACCGTTTCAGTTCGACTTTAAACCCTTGTTATATACTAGGAGATATTCCTTTAACATCTTAACTTCTTAGGTGACTATTAAAACCATGGGGGCCTAAGGACTTGGTGGAGAGGAGTGAGACCATGCTAAAGCTTAAACTTCCTTTGGCTTATCCACACAGTGGCTGTGCCAGTCTGGATCATTGAGAGCTGACAATATTTTAGAACATGGTGGTCTAGGAATTCCTATATCCCAAGTCCTTAATAGAACCAGGCGTGGGGCTGGGGGAGGGCTGGGAACTGGCCTGCAAGGTGAGGGCCCCAGAGGGAGCTTTCTTCAGCCTTTCCACTCAGAGCCAGCCACTTAGCTCTGATTGGGACCGTTCCAGACCAAACAGAAGCAAAAGATCGCTAGTTCATTTGACTAATTAGGTAACACAATTTTTCTTACATCTCCTAGAAAATCAGTTTTCCAGGGTCTTCTCATCAGTAGATAGGAAGTGACATTCCTAGACCCCAGTCTTGAGATTGGTCAACAAGAAGTTGGCTCATGGATCCAAGGAGTTGATTCATAGACCTGAGTGAGGCTGCTGAGAAGCCTGCTCCCCTTACCTTCTCCACTTGTACATACATCAACATATAGAGGATATAGATTTGATGGGAGGAAAGATGTATGATACCAAAGGTTAGAAAATACACTAGTCCAGTGAATCCCCCAGGGAGTCCAGACCACACATTGAGCTCCTTGGATAGCTCAGAGGGGATGATCACTTACCGCCATGTATAGGGTTTTCAGGAAGTTGATATCCTGAGTTAAGGTATCCACGTTGGCCTCTAGATCAGACTTATTTGAGAAAGCTGTATCCACATCCTGTATCAAAGAGAGAAGGATAAAATGCTCATTACTTGCACACTGTTTAACCTCCCCACCTTGGCAGGCTCTGGAGGTGGGTGGGAAGACCAGGCCAGTTCCCACAGGGCCAGGCCAAGTGGGACAGATGGGAAAGTCATTGGGTGGAAATACAGCTTAGTGACTCTTGTTCTTCTCCCTTATATAGCATGAAACCCCCAGGGATGCTGGACATTTTCTGATGCTTATTTAGCGGCAAGAAGAGTCTGGATAATCCAAGACTCTTCAAATGTCATCCCTTCAGACCTCTGCTCTCATGAAGACCCAATCCTAAGTCACTGGAGGCCAAATCAGAACTTCGAAGGGAAGCGGTTGTGACCTTAGGGGGTCCGCTGTGTGCGAGTATTCACAGGGCTGTCCGGGCAGTGTCCTGGAGTTGCGAGAACATTTGTCTGTCTGGAGGAGAAGTTTGCCTGGGCCTGTTGCTCTCCTTACCTTCTTCAGAGCCACACACCCATTCTCAGCGTTGGCCACGAGTCCCACCTCCTCTTCATACGTGGATGATAAGGATGAAGAGGGTGAGTCCTCACTCTGAACTGAGAGCCGATTACTCCCAGCTCCCCAGTTATCACCTCTTGTGACCTCTCTGCTCCGTCCAGGAGCCTGGCTCCCTGTTGCCATCTGCATGTTTTCATCCACTCTGTCCCATCTTTAAGACCTTTTATGAGTCCACAGCCCTTGGTTTCTCCAAATCCCTTTTACTTTCTCAAACTGGATGTGGGGTCTGAAAATCTGGACCTTTGCTGGGCTCTTCTGCTGGAAAAGCCTGAGGGTCACTGCACTTAGAGGAAGTAGGACCTTATTTGTGGCCGGACTTAGGCACTGTTCTCAAAACCAGAGAGTTTCTTTTTCTGGGGTCAACTCACCCATGCTCACAGGCAGGATTAGGGACAACCATGCCCAATTCCAAGTCTCCTTTCTCCTCAGGACCCATGGAGGGCCTCCTCCTCCCATACATATCACATCCCCACCCCTGTCTTCAGGCTGGGAATTGAAACCAGCATTCAACCCTGATCCTTCCGGCAGCTCTCATCCAAGCTTGGCTGCTGCTTTGGGGACCAGCCCGTGCCCATCCTAGGTCAGTACAGTCCAGCAGCCGCTCACTTCTTCTTGAAACCCTCAGGGACATCCTGCATGTTGTTCCTCTCAGCCTCCAGCCGGGCCCGTTCGCTGTTCACTACGTCCAGCTGTCTCTGCAGGCTGGTGATGTAGTTCTCGAAGAGGGGCTCCGGGTTGCTCCTGGCATATTTCTGCTCTTGGAGGAAGTTCCACTTGGTCTCTAGGAGCTTATTCTGCTGTTCCAGGAACCGCACCTAAAGCCACAGGGGCAAAGACATGGCAATTGAAGTGCTTGATATAGTTACCTGTATGTCAACGTTGCTCAGATGGCCAGAGGTGACTTAAACCTGTGGTGACATCGTTCCCCCGCCCCTGTTGAATTTAGCTCCTCCTCTAACTCAGTAGAATCTGGCAGAGCAGGTCTGCAACCCCTCCTCGTGCTCAACCAGGCTTATCTACAAACAGAAGCTTTGGAACCAAAGCTCTTCAACCATTTCCCTTTCAACCCTCTGAGAAAGGTGAGGGCTGGTTCACTGGAAAGTTGGAGATCGATTCTACCTGAGCTGGGGTTTGCCTATATCTAAAAACTGATTTCAGCCATCCCTAGCAGGGAATGAGGAACAGAGTAAAGTACATTGGGCTGGGAGGTGGTGTTAGGAGGTGGGAATTCTCAGGTCATAATTCATACCCATCACCTCAGAAATTCCATCAGCTGAGACTTATAGAGCTGGAGGGGAACATAGAGGCCATTTGCTCCAACCCCTCATTTCGGAGTGAAATGAAGCTCACAGAGGTGAGTTTCCAATCTCAGACACAATAGAGCATCCCCACTTCACGGAGACACGGTCTGGGGTTTGGGGCTGTGTCAGTTCCACCTCCCTGTTCCTCTCATCAGCCTGAAGACCAGTGGCCACCAGTGGTCATTCCCTACTCTTTCCCTCAATCTAGGCGACTCAGCTGAAGCTGGATATCCCAGGTGGGGGAGGGGTATGAATTCTTTGCTTTGTACAAAAATTACTCAACTCCATTCTCCATTTCTTTAAGCCTGAATAGGTGTGGCCACTCAGCCTCAGAAACCATGGAAACTTCAAAGAGAGCATGAGGATCTCAAAGGATAAAACCTCTTAAACCTGTACCAGCCAACACCTGGTGGAGGTGTTAGTGTTTCTAGCCTGTTTGGGAGATATTTCTAAGTGACTAGGTGGTAGGTCTTAGTTTGTTCAGATGCCTTCAGATTTGGCTGGATGTTCCTCCTTCCCCCAGAAGACACCACCACTGTCTTAATCTATCCCTCTATGCAGCGCTTCCTCGGGCTCGTCCTGGCTCCGCAGCAGAGTGACCCAGAAATCATACCGCCATGTCTTTGGCTGGTGCCTGAAGGATCTGGGGTCAAGGTCGATGCCCTAGGTCTGGACCAGTTCTTCTTAAGGGAAAGAACATCTCAGTGCATTTAGCTCGCATCATCCCAGACCCAGAGGTTGAGCTGTCACAAGTACCTTGTCGATGAAGGAGGCAAATTTGTTGTTGAGGGTCTCAATTTGCTCCTTCTCATCCTTCTTCACCCTCTGGGCATTAGGGTCAATCTCCAGGCTGAGGTGGGTCAGCAGGCTCTGGTTAACAGTCACTGCTGTGATGGACGGGGCTGCTGGCACTCCAGCTCCTCCAACTTGGTAGCCAAAGCCAGGGCCGCCAAAGCCATAGCCGAGGCCACTGCCAGCTCCAAACCCCAGACCAGCACCGCTCCCATCACCAAAGCCAAAGGCCATCCCACTGCCAGAACCAAGGCCAATTCTGTAGCGGATGGGCCGAGGGCACACAGCTACTATCCGGGGTGAGCACGATTCAAACGTGATGACACTCCGACTGCCAAAGCTGCTAAGACCCTGGAAGCGGGGCCCACTCCTGCAGGAGACAGAGCTGGCCCGGAAGTGGTTCAGGTTCTGGGGAGGCATTGCTGAGCAAGAGCTGAAGCTGCCCACATGGCGACCAGAGCTGACTGTGTCAGAGCGGCAAGATGTGATGGTGTCCTGGGTGAGAGGCAAGCAGCGACTGCAGAGCAGGGGGAGCTGGAGCTGGGAGGCCCTCTGAGGCCAGTGGATCCCTCTAAGCACTTTTATGTGTGTGGGGATCTGAGGATTGGCCCCATAAAAATGGAAAAAGCCATTTGGAAGCATTTATGAGCTTGAGTAGTTAGCAGAAAATCTTCCAGCCTGCAACTTCCTTCACAATGAGTTAATCTCAGACACACCTATTTTCCTCAGAATCAGGGCCATAACATCAAACCTATAAACATTAAAAATATATAAACACGTAAACATTATGGTCCTACTTTTCCCACAAGTCCACCACTATTGCCATTATGGGGACCTTAATTTGCTTTGGTCATAAATCCAATAGACTTTCCACAGTAAGTGTGGCTAACCACCAGAAAGTTAGGATGGTAACTGCTCCAGCAAGAGGCTGCAAGGGATGCAGCTATACAGATAACACCCTCAATAGATGGGGGTGTGCAGAAGACAGGCAGGGTTTTCATAGCTCTAAGTAAGAAATGATATGGTAAGAATACAGTTTGTTGCATTCCTGTAGGAGGATTAAACAGTCCAAAAACATTTTGCAGTGTTTTATCTAACCTCTATGATCTGATTTGACTGTTTACATAAAAATTGAATTGTCACTAAAGCTCATTTGGGGTAGTGTAGATACATGTCTGATTTAAGACACTCAAAGGAGATCCATTCATTCATACATTCATTTATTCATTTGACAATTACCAGTTACTCTCTCTCAGGTAATGTGCTTGGTGCCGAGGGTACAGAGATAAAAAGATGGTCTCTATCCTCCTGGTGTTGGGGGGAGATTAATCTTGAGGACTTCTACCAACCAATACTTTTGTGGCATAGTTTGAGGCCAAAATTCTGTATGATTTGGCCATGTATCTGTGTGGAAAGTTAACCACATAATTTTGAGCCCCCAAAATACACATTAGGGCTGATCTATAGTCCTGCCTATGCAGGTTCCTTGCATTATTGATGAATGTTTGGTTAGGAGGGAGAGACACCAAGCAATAAGCATCTGGGTAGGAAATGAAAAGTTCTAAGTCACTGGATATCATTATCATTGTTAATCAATATCGCAGGTATTTCAGGACCCAGAGACAGATGTTTGCCTTTTCTATTCTAGAGAGTGAAATGATTTGTCCTACTCATCTGTGCCTGGGGGAACTTGTGCTTGACTAGATGCTCACTTGGGATTCTACTTGGAAGGGGATATGTGCTTTTCTCTGGAGCTATCCATCTCAGGTCTTCACTATTTTCTTCCATCCCAATCTCTATATCTTTGATTTCTTTTTCTTGTCTTACTGCATTAGCTAGGACCTCCAGTTTGATGTTGAAAAGCAGTGGTGAGAGGGGGCATCTTTGCCTTATTCCTGATTTTTGGTGGGAAATCTTCACGTTTCTTACCATTGAGTACAATGTTAGCTGTAGTTTTTTTGTAGATATATATATATATTTTGTCAAGTTGAGGAAGTTTTCCTCTGTTCCTAGTTTACTACTGTTTTATACAGACCCAGCTATCAGGTGTATGTCTAATGGGAGAAGCAGAAAAATAATAATAACACAATACTTCTTGTGAAGGTTGCATGTGACCTCCAGGTTGCTAAAATCACTGGTCCATTCCCAGCTCTCATTTAACTTAGCAGGATTTGACATAGTTGATCATTCCCTTTTCCTTAAAACAATTTCTTCTTTTGGTTTCCAGACACCACATTCTCCTGATTTTCTATACATATTACTGACTGCTTCTTTTCAGTTTTCTCAACCAGTTTATCCTCATATCCCTGACCTCTACACACCACAGCATCATTGGGCTCAGCCCTTGTACCTGTTCATGTCTTTATCTATACTTGTTCCCTTCATGACAGCGTACAGCCTCATGACTTAAATACCATCTTTCCACTGATGACTGCCAAGGTGTATCTCTATCCCAGGCATCCCTTCTGTGCCCCACATGTATATATATATATATATATATATATATTTATGGTACGCGGGCCTCTCACTGTTGTGGCCTCTCCCTTTGCGGAGCACAGACTCCAGACGTGCAGGCCCAGCAGCCATGGCTCAGGGGCCCAGCCGCTCCGTGGCATGCGGGATCCTCCCGGACCGGGGCACGAACCCGCGTCCCCTGCATCGGCAGGCGGACTCTCAACCACTGCGCCACCAGGGAAGCCCCCGCGTCTCTACTTGGATATCGATTAGTATCTCAACCTTCATCTATCCAAAGCTGTTCTCCCGATTGATTGTTCCTATGAAATATGTTCCACTTGCCAGGCTCACTATCCCTGTAGTGGCTCAGGCCAAAAATCTGGGAGTCATCCTTTATTCCTCAGCTCTTTCCATATCGCACATTCAATCCATTGGCAAGTTCTACCTGCAAAATATACCTGGACTCCTACTACTTCTCATCACCCCACTGCTACCATATTGGTCCAAGCCCATCACTCCTCACAGGGTCTATTGAAGTCTCCTTCCAGCTAGTCACCCTGCTTCCTCCTTTGCCCCTTCTGACTTTCCTCAACACCATAGTCAGAATGGTCCTTTAAAAACATGTCAGATCATGCCATTTCTAAGCTCATATGCCTCTGGTGGTTTCCCATCCCACTCAGAGTAAATGCCACACAGGACTCTACATAGTCTGCTCTCCTCTTTCACTGACCTCACTTCCCTCTATCCGTCCTACTGCTCACCCTGCTCCAGCCACCCTGGCCTCCTGTGTGTCCATCAGACAGGCAGGAAAACTCCTAATCAGAGGCCTTCCCATTTGCTGTTGTTGTTGTTTTTTTTTTTTTACTGCTGGGAACTCTTTTCCTGCAAATGGCTACATGGCCGGGTCCCTCAACTCTTCCAGTTCTTTGCTCATGGGTCACCCCCTCTTTAAAGCCCCCTCCCCTGTGTACTCTCTATTCCCCCTCCCCGCTTCCTCTTCTCCTTAGCAGTGCTTACAGTCTGAGGTCCTTTCCTGCATGGATTTGCCTGTTTATCACCTGTCTTCCCAGGCTGGAATATAAGCTCCAGGAGGCAGGCACTGTTGTGTGTTTTTTTCCTCCTCTGTGTCTCCTGCTTAGGATAGCAGGGACATGTGGGAGGCATGCTATATGGTTTTGTTGAATGAATGAAGACACCGCAAAGATTAACAGCAGGAGGAAAAAGGGAGAAAGGACAGGGGGTGAAAGAAGAGGAATTTGGGCATTTGGCTTTGTAAGTATTTCAGGAAGAGGAGACTCTAGTCTCCAAAATGGAGAGGAATGACCCTGAGGAGGATGGTGCAGAAATCCAAGAGCTCAGAGAGGGTCAACCCAGTTTGCCCTCCAGCTCCAGCCTCTTGGGGTGTGAGCCTGGCTGCTTGGAGGAAAGGGCATCCCCCTCCACTGAGGCCAGGCAAGGGGATCCAGGTGACTGGGAAGGGGATGGGGGACGCCTGTGGAGGAGAAAAGGGGAGGGGAGCAGGAGGGATGGCATAGAGGACACCACTGAGTGTGCCAGGCCGGGAACAGAAGACTTGACACAGCCCTTGGAGTCAAATGGAAGTGGGTTCAATCCCAATTTTGCCATCAGTCAGCAGTGTGACCTTGGGCAGTGGCATGGGAATGGCACGGTAGTGGCACACCCTGGATGCAGGCAGTCAGGGGTGCGTGTCTGTAGAGAACTTAAAAACAACAATACACCCAACTAAAAGTCTGCTTGCCTTTTATTATCACTGTGCAACATTCGCCCTCCATGGTATACAAATGACCTGGGGAAATTGTTTAACCTCTCTAAGCCTCAGGTTCTTCATCTGTAAAATGGAATTATACCTACTGCACAGTATGTGCGAGTTACATGTGAAAATGTTTGGAGTGTATGCTGTGTGGAGCCTGGTGTGGTTATTGTCATCATTTCTTTCCCCCCTCCGTCCCCCTCTTTTTCTCTCTGCCCCCTTCCCCTCTCTTTTGCACAATCCTCCTTTCACTGGTAAGCCGTCAGTTCTGTTCCCGTCCAGCACCCCACCTGCTTCCCACTCCAGTGGCTGTGGCATCATTACCCCACCAGCCATTCCCGGGGCTGTCCTGTGGTTCAGCTTCCTTCAACCTTAACAGCCCAGGCGGGGTGGCGGTAATTGAGACCAGTCACGCATAACCCCTTTTCTGAGATGGGCTGTTGCCATCAGCAGTTTATACTTCTGAGGCGTTATTTCATCAGACAATGCAAAACACAATCCTCAGCCATTTTTTAAAGGGTGGCAGGTGGGGAGAGGGGAGTTGTCCTGGCAACTCTGGGCTGGGGCTTTTGCTGCTCTGACAGTTTCTGCTTCCTGTTGAGAGTTGGTCTGGATGTAATCCTGAGATCTGCTGGCTGAGCTAGTGTAGACAGATTGCTGGCTCATCCCGATGCTAACTGCTTGAGGCGGGGGGGCGGGGGGGGAACTGCTGACGAGGGCTTGGCGGGGAGGAGGGGATGGGAGGGGAAGGGGCCATCCTGGTTGGCTGAGCAGAGCTTGTGAACCCTGGGTGCACAGTGGCTGCACTGTGTGTGTGTGTGTGTGATTGTGTGTGTGTGTGTGCATGCCTGTGGGAGGGGAGGAGGGTGACAGGGAAATCCAGATGGTGAGAAGGCTTTGCTAAGGCCACCTTCTTCAAATGTTTCCGTTTAGCCTAGGGACAAGTTTGCACAGGAGAGAGGCACTCACTGGGAGGTGTTCACGCTGAGACCTGCCCTGGTGGGAAGGGAAGCTCAGGGGTCCCCCAGCAGAAGGAGGGGGGCGATGAGGAGAGAGCCCTCTGCCCTGTCAGACTAGTGATGCTTGGATAGAATCTAAACACCTCCCAGGAGAGTCAAAGCACCCCTCTTGCTTGAGCCCATCCCCACCCTTTCAGGCAGAATGATTTTTTCAGGTTTAGCCCAAATTCTTCACTTGCCCACACAGTTATCACCTGTCAGGGTGAAATGTGACAGGTGACCTGCTCGCAGGCGTGCAGGTCGGTTTGCTTCAACAAACCTTTATTGGGTGTGATGTGAGCCCGACATCAAGATTAGGTGCTGGGATACTTGCTGGGTGCAGCCCTCTTCCTTTTACCAGATTCAGTGATCCTAAGTACCCCTTCTCTGCCCCCAGTTCCATTTCTGCAGCCATTTCCCCCAATCCGAGCCCCAAGGGGAGAGAGGCGGTAGTGGGCCCACCTGGGGCCGCTGATGGGACTCGGATGACCAAGGGATCCTGGGACCCAGGGGAAGGGCAGAGTGCATCTGAGGGAGGGCACAGTGGAGCAAGGAAGGCTCTCCTAGGGAGAAGAGGGACAAGAAGTGGGAGACATTCGGGGGAGACAGACACAAAAACAAGGGGCTTCATTCAGGGTCCTCCCACCCGCCCCAGGCCTCTTTGGGCTGTTCCCCACCTGTCCTCATGGGGGCGCTCTGGGAAGGGCTGGGATTTGGATTCCCGAGGCCGAGTGGAATGCGGGGAGGCTCTGGCTTCCAGCAGTAGGCTCTCCCTTCCTTCCGAGAGCAGGGCGGGGCCTGATCCTCCCTATAGGTGCAGGGTGGGTCCTGGGAGAAACTCAGATGTTTGCCCAGGTAATGGAGGTGAACCGCCCAGGGAACCACCGGGAGGCACTTTTGTCCTGCCTGCCTAGAGTCACCTCCTCCCTGGAGAGAGGGGGAGAATGGGGGCACGGCTGCACAGCACTGAGGGGGATGCCTTGGTGGAGGCTCTAGAAGGGCGCGCCGGGGCCTGTAGCTCATGTCCAGGACTGAGCTGGGGTGCCCTCACTACTGGGATGAGTCTGCCTAGTGGATGGTTCCAGACAAGTCTCCCTTCCCCTGGGGCCTGGGCCACTCTAGGATGGGAATTCCCAAAGGGATGGTCGCCAGGCTCAAGCCCACCTCATTGTGAGGGTGGGGGAATCTTCTCTCCTTCTCCTCCTTTACTCCACTGGAGTGCCTCCTGGGCCTTGGGTAGTCATCTTTGGGACAGGGGTGGGTGGCCGGTTGTCATCTCTGTTTCTGCTGACTGCAGGCCAGGACATTCCTGTAGTTTTCAGAGTTTTCAGAGCAAGGAGCTTAGCTGGCTCTAGGGCCAGGTCCAGAGTGACAGGGCTTCCAGTGGGAATGGAGGCCATGAGGCCCCTGTTGTCCCACCCCCTCCTTCCCTGGGTGTGGATGTGCATCCCTAAAGTCACCGGCCCTCACCCGTCTGGCGCTGCACACTCTGGTTCACGGCTGCTGATCCCTCAGCCTGGAGCCCCTGCTGGGCTTCCTTGCTTCCCCTCAGTCCTGCTGGCCTTTGGGATCCAGCTTGCCTGCCCCCTCCTCTGGGGATCTTCCCAAGGCCTGTGACCAGGGTAGGACCCTCAGTTATGTCCTCCTTCACAATAAGCCTGACATCTGTAATTTCCTGTTCCGGGTCTGTACCCTCAGGTAGGCTGTAAGCCCCAGGGGCATGGATTGGGGCCAGGGCCCCATTTTTTAAAAATAGCTTTATTAAGATATAATTCACATATCATATAATTCGCTCATTGAAAATTACAATTCAGTGGTTTTAGTATATTCCCAGATAAGTGCAACCGTCACCCCAGTCCCTTTTAGAATGTTCTCATCGCCTCAAAAGAAACCTTTGGCTGTCCCCGCCACCCCATCTTCTCTTCCCTCCAGCCCACTAGGCAGCCACGGATCTGCTTTCTGTCTCTGTAGATTTCCCTAATCTGGAATTTCATATGAATGGAATCATAGAATATGTGGTCTCTGTGTCTGGCTTCTTTTCTCTCCCTCATGTTTTCAAGGTTCATCCATGTTGGAGCACGTATTAGTGCTTCACTCCTTTTTATGGCCAAATAATATTTCATTGTATGGAGAGACCAAATTTTGATTATCCATTCATCCACTGATGGACATTTTGGTTGTTTCCACCTCTTGGCTCTTGTGAATAGTGATGCTATGAACATTCACGTACGAGTTTTTGTGTGGACGTGTTTTCATTTCTCTTGGGTATCTACCTAGGAGTGGAATTGCTGGGTCACGTGGTAACTCTATGTTTAACATTTTGAAGAACTGCCGGACTGTTTTCCAAAGTGGCTGCACCAGTTTATGGTCCCTACCATGGGCTCTAGGAACTGTGTCTACTGTCCCTACTGGTAGGTCAGCCCTGACTGGGGCTGCCTTGTTCACCACAGAGACACCAGCCCTTGGGTGGTCTGACCCATAACAGATGCTTGATAAATATTATATTGAGTGAATGAAAAAGCAAGTGGGTGGGTTCTTTTTAATATGCTGCCCATAAGTCAGTAACCCTTGTCTGTTCAGACCCTGTCCTTGTGACCCTCTCTGTGAGCTTCTCTCTGATCTCCGTGCCTGGAATAATTACAAGTTGTTTTTCCTTGTCGCTTCCATTCTCTCTGGCTGTCACTGCTTATGACTCCTCTGTGAGGCTGAGAGGCACTCTAGGGTTCCGAGCATGTTGTAGTCACCTCTGTATCACCAGCTTCTCATGCAAGGCTTGGCACAGAAGAGATGCCCTATGCGGGGCTGTGGGGGAAGAGGAGTTGCACCCCAGCGCTCAGGAGAGGGGAGCCACAAGGGGGCATCTGTAGTGGGGGGATTGTTACAGGGGATCAGTGAGGCAACAGGGAGGGTATCAGGGCCAGGCAGAGGGTGGAACCGCTGCCACCAAGTCTCATTTCCTGGTCTTGGGGCTCCCGAGAGGGAGAGGAGGCTAGGAGGTGCCCCGCCCTAGCCAGTCTGCTGCCTATCTTCCCTGCTTTCCCCAGGCCTGCACCTGCCCTGCCTGGGGACCTGGCTGGGGAGGCAGAGCCCAGGCTTTGAGGCTGCCGAGTACAGACATGACAGACTTTCTCTAGGACATATGCAGGGGGCCATGTGGTGAGGAGGCCTGTGGGGAATAGGGCTGTGGTTTTTAACGTGGCAGGTGACTTGCAAACTATTGGGGTGTGATGTGCAGGTTTTAAGTGGAATTTGTATGGCTCCACACTCACTCCACAGGCCACTTGCCAATCATTCATATGTAGTTTTCCCTTTTGTATAATAACCTCTCTTTCCACTCCCAACCCCACACCCCGCACCAGCCCCCAGTTCCCCAAAGCTGCCCATCAGTTCCCCTTCAGCCTCATTGTCCTCCACAGAGCAGGGCCAGTAATCCTGATTCCTGTAGCCTGGGAACAGTCAGTTGATTGGCAATAGACAAGCCCAGAGGCTCATGGCAGAGATGTGGATCCCTGGGTGGGCAGGGCTTCTGCAGATGCAGCACAATTCGGGAGTAGGGGTTGTGCTCTGGGGAGGTGGGGTCAGCTCAGCACCTCCCCTCCCCTCGCAGCCCCTGAATCAGGGCCTCCAAGTGTGCTGAGGCAGCCCCGTACCACTGCAGCCAGGAAAGCACATTCATATCAGACCCAAAGCAAGAGGAACTCAAGGGAGAGGGAGCAGGGCAGGGTTGGCTACGTGCAGAGGGTAGGGGTGGGGCTGATTCCTTTGTCCCTTTGTTCAGTAAATACTCCATGTCCCCTTGCCTTTGTGCTAGGCATTTCTTAGCCGTCAGCTGCCACTGTGAGCTCAGGAAAAAATGTATTTTTATAGCGCCAGTTCAACGCACCTGAGCAGGTAAATCTACTGCCCAAAGACCACCTCTTGATTCTGTGTGCTAACTGAGAGGAACATGGACAGGTCCCGAGCGAAGCTGAAATCCTGGCACTTGGCTTGGGAATTTGGAATGGGATTTGGGGGTATTTTCATGTTTGTAATAGTGCGTGTATTAGGTGGGTGTTAAAAGGAGTTCACTTTTTAGGCGCATGACAGACCGAGGTAAGAGAGGAGGCGAATGTCCCGGGGTCAGGGGAGGCTGGCTTTGTGGGGAAAGTTCCATGGGGCGATCCACAAAGCAGAGCTGTGATGTGCCCATTTGGCCTTCTCATGGGGAAGAGAAGTGTTTGGGGGCCATTGCCATTCTCTTGGCCGCACTAGAGCCTGACTGTCAGTGGTCCAGATATACGGCGGATGCATTTTTGTTCTTTGCATCCCACCCCGACCCCAGGACCTAGCGCAGGGTCTGCACACAGCTAAGTGAAAGGTGACTCTTGAAGATACCTGAGGGGCGGCTCACGGAGAAAACCCAAGGGAAAACTTCGATCAGTATAGGAAGGTGGGATTTTGGAACAGCCTTGTCTTCAACCCTGGTGGCAGGGGGACAACATCCAGGCTGGGGGCTGGTGCCCTGTCCCCTGGGCTTCTAGCCTCTGGGGCTGTACTAACACTTGTGGCAGGAGGAGCCACCCCCAGCCCCTAGCTTCATGCTGAAGCTCCACCTGCTTCCACAGCCCAGTAGCCCCTGGGGCTCACAGGGGATGTAGATTTCACTGGTAGCCATGATGCTGCAGCCCCTGCTGCTCTTGAGGACACTGGTGTCCCCTGGACAGTACATGGGTGTGCTGACCACACTTGGCTCGTAGAGGATGTGCCTTTGGAGCTGTTCACAGCTGCGGGAACAGGAAGGGATACTCAGGGCCCTGCCCTGAAACATCTCGGCCAGGCCAGGCCCCCACCTGCTGCAGCTCACTTCTAAGGACATTCCCATCCCAGCTACCAACTTCCATGTCTCTCACTCTGGCCACATAAAGTGCTTAGCAGTTCCCCACGTGTCTCTCCTCTTGCCCCAGAGCCCTATCTTCTGCTTCACCCTCTCTGTTTCTATTTGTCTGAGCCTGCTTCAAATCCTCTTTCTCCAGAAAAGCATCCCCTTGTCTATATGGTTCCTTGCAGCTTCTGGGCCCTGAAGCACTGGGACCACGCTGCATGTCTGCCCCTGATTCTCACTCCCATAGACTTGGGTAGCTCTGAGGGAGAGCCTTTCCATCCTCCAGGAGCTCCAGGCAAACAGAACTCTTCCTTTGGGGTGGGGGAAGCACGCTGAGGTTTGGGCAGGGGCCAGTGTGGTCTATTATGGGTCGATCAGCTCCCAAGACCCCAGAACCGCTGGGGAGGGCTCATCTACTCACACATCTTCACGGGCCCAACACCTTCATGCAGCCTGGGGGTGGGAGGCAAAGGAGACACAAGGGAACTGCATCAGAGAATGAGACCAAGAAGCACGCGGCACCCCACCGCTTCTGCCTGCTCCGTGCACCCTGTCAACGAGGAGGGCCTGTGGTCTGCGTGCTGTTTTAGATTTTCCACGACTGTGGGATGGGCAATGGCAGCAACAGCAAGCAGAGGGCAGGAGAACAGACATCCCTGGTGCCCATCCTTGACTGACCCGTGCTCCTCGCCCTCCAGCAGGCACCTGTAGGTGGCGATCTCGATGTCCAGGCCCAGCTTGGAGTTCATCACCTCCTGGAACTCCTTGAGCAGGCAGGCCATGTCCTGCTTGGCCTTCTGCAGGGCCTCCTCCAGCCCAGCCAGCTTGCACTTGGCATCGTTGAGGGCCGCCTCGCCCTGCTGCTCTGCCTCGGCTATGGCACCCTCCAGTTTGCAGCGCTGGGAGGAGAGGGCACAGAAAGGCATTACGGGGTGCCCTGGAGCCCTGGGCTGACTCTTAGAAGAACAGAGAACATGGTCGTTGTGAGACAATTAGAAACAATATATATTGGTCTCTTCCCCCAGTTTCTGGACAGAACGCCCCCAAACCTTGTAATTTCCTAAGTGATAAGCACACTAAGATCATCCTTTGTTCTAACATTTGGTCTTTGACCCTGGTTTCTGACACAGAGTCCCTAAACGCCTTAGAATTTCCTGGGTATTGGCAATGTCTTTTGTTTAATTAAGGTGACTCTAGGTAGGCTCCTGGATGGGGGCTGGTCACCAGAAAGACCAAGCCATGATTAGAAGCTGGGAATTTTCAGCCCACCCCGCAAATCTCCCGAGAGGGGAGAGAGGCTGGGAATGGAGGTAATAATTGATCATGCCTATGAGAGGAAGCCTCCATAAAATCCCAACAGTAGAAGATTCCGAGAGCTTCCAGGTTGGTGACCAGGCGGAGGTGTGGAGAGAATGGCACGCCTGGAGAGGGCATGGAGGCTCCACACCCCTCCCACATACCTTGCCTTATCCATCTCTTCCACCTGGGTGTTCATCCGTACCCCTTATCATATGTTTTTATAATAAAGCCGTAGATGTAAAGGAATCTATTTTCCTGAGTTCTGTGAGCGACTCCAGCAAATTAATCGAACCCAAGGAGGGGGGTCATGGAGACCTCCAATATATAGCCGATTGGTCAGAAACACAACCTGGACTTGTGATTAGCATCTGAACTGGGGGCAGCCTTGTGGGACTTGGGGGGCAGTCCCTAACCTGTGGGATCTGATGCTATCTCCAGGTAGGCAGTGTCAGAAGTGCGTTAGGTTGTAGAACACCCAGCTGGTGTTGCAGAACTGGTTAGTATGGAAACACCCTTCCCCCATATCTGGTATCAGAAAGTGTTGTGAATGTGATGGTGGGAGGGTAAAGGAGGGACACAGGAGGAAGAGTGAGTTTTTCCCTCAGTCATGGTTATGTGTCAGATTCAAATCTGCTGTGGGTTTCATCCTAGGATTGTGACATCTGGTTCCTCTGGGGGATGGGGACCAGTTCTCCTGTCTACAACACCTCAAGGAGATCTGTGAGCTTCCTCTAGATAAGCCAAGCAACTTCTTTGTGACTAATAGATTTTAAGCGTCTGCCTGGTCTTCACTAGCCTAGGAGAAGAGAGTGAGTCTGAGGTGATGAGCTCTGCGGGGTCACCTTGAATTTCAGGATCATAGAATTAGAGTCTTTGGTTGGAAGGGGCCTTGGAGAACATCTTTTCTATACTCCCATCTAGTGAAGCATCCTTGCTATTCCATCTTGATGCAGTAGGTTGCCTAGCCTCTGCTGGGGGCCTCACTGTTTCCTGAGCCTGCTCATCCTGCTGTGGGTCAGCTCTTCTGTAGACAGGGCTCGCTCCCTCTCGTGGGACACAGCGCAAGTTTATTCCCTCCTCAACTGGGCCCCCAGGGAGGATGGACCCCCCAACATCGCGACCAAGACCAGATGGCGGGTTACCCTGTGATGGCCTCATCTGGGCTTTGACATTCTCAATGTCTTGCTGCAACCACTGAATCAGCTTGTTTATTTCCAGAATCTCGTTCTTGCAGTTGTGGAGGTTGTCACAGTGGGTCCCGGCTGTCAGCCGCAGCTCCTCATACTACCACATAGGGAGGTCAGAACCTGGGCACCCACACTGTGGTCCCTCCCAGCCCCCTTTCCCACTGTCCCCCGTGTCTCCTCTCCTAACTTCCTGGGTCAGGTGCTTTTGGATTCTTATACTTGTTCTGTTCCCCATCCCCTATCCATTTCTGGTCCTTTTCTGGGCTATTCCTTATTCCTTTCTCATATTCCAGCCCTGAATCTTTAGGCTTATTAAATTCTCCTCTAAGCTCCAAACTCTCCAACTCTCTGTTTAGTGATTCTGTGTCTTGTCCTTTTCTCTCTGCCCTGGGATTTCCCTCCTTTTTTTCTCCATCCCTGCTCTGGACCTTGGAAAGAGATTCTGTGCTCAGCCTGGGGTACCTAACAGACCAAGGACTGAGGACACAGCACATCTGCCCCCACCAGGGTGAATATGTTTGTATATTCTCCTTCAAAACAATTGAAAACAAAATGCAATATTATCTCCTATCTTGGCTTAACACTTTTTTATTAAACTTTTGCTCATTGAATCTAATTTCTGAATAGTGTGTTATAGATTACATTAATAGATTGAAAAATTAGCCAACTTTGTATTTTCTGCATATAATGGATGGGAGCGTTTTGCATAGAAAATGCAAAACAAGATAAGCACAAGTCACTCTCTTTGGTTATTGTGAAAAAGCCTGTAGTTGCCCAACCAATACCCATTCTCCTCTTCTTCAAACAGAAGCCCAGATAAGAGAATATTTCTCAGCTTTCTCAACGAGGTGCACAGCCATTGCTGGGTAGGGCTTCTAGGAAAGCTGTTTAAAGTCAGAGATGATTCAATTGTCATGTTCCTTTCGCCCTCTCTTCTTCTGCCTGCTTGGAATGAACATGTGAGATTGGTGGTATCGCAGCCATCTTGGGACATGGGGCAACCATGAGGATTAAAGCACCATGCTAAGAATGACAGAATAGAAAACTAGAAGGAGCCTGTGTTCCTGATGGTAACATAGAACCCCAGAGCCACCTGTGGGCAGTCTACTTCTTTACTTTCAAATTATTTGAGAAAAAAGTAAAAATCAAATTTGTTTCAACTGTCATTGTTATTATTGATTTCTGATCCTCACGGCTAAATGCAATTTTTAAATAATAGAGTTATCTTTCTGGTTCTAACTTAGGAGGATGGGAAACTGTGGTTATTTTTCCTGAGCCCACCTGACTGATGAATGGCCCAGGAGAGCAACTGGAGGAGGGGCCGGCTGGAGCAAAACCTGGCCGTGGGTGAACCACAGACTGAGTCACAGGGAGCTGACGTCAGGCCAGGGTTTGACACCTTGATCACCATGGATCTCCAGGAAAAGGGTAGAGCATTGCTTGGGACACTCCCTGGAGATTGGTACCCATTGCCTTCAGAAAAACGTCCAAAGGCCTCAGTGCAGCTCTGCAGATCTGCTGTGATCTGGCCCTGTTGTCTCCAGCTGCATTTCTTTCATGGTGCTTCCTTTCATGCTTCACCTCAGCCAGACGTCCTTTCCCCCATGCTTATGGAAATCATACTTGGCCTTCGAGATCCAGACCACGCCCCAGTGCCTCCGCCTTTCCAGACACAATTTGTTCCTTCCACCATCATCCTATTCCCTTGGCCTGCAGCTTGACCTTAGCGGCCACTTCATGCTACCTCGCATCTCAGTTTGGCTGGTTACACGTTTCTCTCCCGTGCACTGTAATTTCCTTGAGGATGGGCATGCTGTGACCCTTAGTATCCTCATGGTTCCACACACCCCAGTAAGGCCCTCCTTCCCTGGCCACCCTGTTGCAAACCGTATTCACACCACACTCCCTACGCTTCACCCTGATTTATTTTCTCCGTAGCACGTGTCCATCTAACATACATCCACTGTACTTATTTGTCTTGCCTGTCCCGCCCCTGCCCCTGCCTCTGGAATGAAAGTGACACGAAGGCAGGGATTGTTTGTGCTGTTCCCTGCTGGACCTCCAGCACCTAGAACGGTGCTTGGCAGACGATGGATGCTCAATAAATGAATGAATGAATGAGTGAGTGAGTAATAATGGTGCCTTTCACAGATAGGGTGGGCAAGACTGAGATGATAATATTTGTTAAATCAAATTGCCCTCAGGGACACCAACTGCCCTCCCAGCAAGGCCCTAATTACCTAAGTCTGGGGCCACCTGAATCACGGTTTCTGCTCCACTATTAGTAACCACCCCATGCCATTAGCCTCCTCCCCCGGCCCTGGTACCAGGCGGCCCTGGTACCAGGCCTCCGCTTGCACTTTGCTGCGGCTGGCGATTTTGTCGTACTGGGCTTTGATCTGGGAAACGATGCCGCCCGCCTGCAGCTCCTGGCTTTTGTCCACCTTCACAATGATGGAGGTCTCTGAGATCTGAGACTGCAGCAGGCTGATCTCCTGGGTGTGGGGACCCTGGGAGATTGGCCCCTGGCTGACCACCTGTGGGCAGCATGGCTGCAGGTACCTCCTCATATAAGCTTTTCAGGAAGTCGATCTCCTGGACTAGAACCTCCACATTGGTCTCCAGGTCAGCCTTTATCAGGAAGGCTGTGTCCATATCCTGCGGCCAGAGAAGTGACAGTCGTAACCTGGGGCCACCCCTCTGCCAGCTGGGCCACCAGGCAAGGTGGTGGCAGGTGGCGGGTGTGGGACCCACCTTTCCTCACTTAGGCCTATGTGGAAGGGAAGGGGTGACAAAGCCAAGGATGGAGCGAGGGGTCCCCAGCCCCAGGACCCCATGCCTGGGCCTGGCATTCTGATGGGGAAGCATCTGAAGACAATGGGGTTAAAGGAGCCTTGAATGCATTCCTCAGAGCTCCCTATGGACCTCAGGCCAGAAAATACATCGCTATCTATGTGAGGGATCAACAAGATGATTTTCATCTCTGGGAGTTTGAGTCAGAGTCTTTGTTTTGGCTTTGATTTGGCATTTGCAACATCTCCAGCTTCTTGCGCAGGTGTAAATACAACACTTAACATGAGTTGGGAGGTGGAGGCCAGGTCAGTCCCTGTCCTTCTGCAAGGGGCGGGGGAGGCTGACCTTCCTCTCTCCCAGGGTCAGTGGGGCTGGCACCAGGGTCTGTGGGGTGGGCGGGCTGCAGGCACATTTGGACACGGTCCAGGGGCTGAGTGTCCCCAGGCCCAGTGGGCCAGCTCAGGGGGCCTTCTCCCTCCCTGGGCCATCCTCCCTCACCTTCTTCAAGGCAACAAACTCATTCTCAGCAGAGGGCTGCAGGGAGAGCTCCTCTTCGTATCTGGCGGAATGAGCAGGGGAAAATGTTTTAGTTGGGCTTGTGGGGTTTGGAAGGGAGTTGGTATCGGGCCTGAGGGTAGGAGCCTCTGGGGGCAAATCCGTGTCTCACCGACTGAATGCCCTAGGGAGGCACCAGGTCCAGCCCCATCTCTGGACACGTCTGGCTCCTCCATCCACTCAACACAGATGACTTTTATCATTGCCTCTCATTAGCAAGTTTACCTTCCATGCACTTTGCAAGTTTACCTTCCATGCCACTGCCCAGTAGCCTGTTCCTGTGTCGAATCATTCTCTGGGAAGTCCTTCTTAAAGCTACCTTTATTCTATCTTGCTACTGAGGAAGCTTACGTCATCTAGTCGTTCCCTCTGGGAGGGCAGCGAAGAGTTGGCTGCCTGTTGCTGGCACAGCTGTCTTTTCTGAGTTGTTCTGAGAGTTGGCTGTAGTCACTGAAATCCCAGCTGACCCCGAGCCCCTCCTCACCAAGAGAGTTCTGAGCCTGGCCTCTGCCTGCAGCTCACTTGCAGAGGTAGCAATTACTCACTTTACCAGATCCTCAGAGACAGCCCGCCTATTTCCTCTAGGCTCCAAGGGAGCTCCTCACCCACTCACTGCCCCCGAAGGCAACGGAATCAGGGTCAGGGATTTAGTCTGGCTGAATGACTCACTTTGATGAGTGACATGGATGCATTTAAAGCTTCCCCATGCTTCCTAATGCCTGTCCTTCCGTTTTCCAGCATAACTCTGGCGCTGCAGGCTCAGGACACTGAGCCTGCCACCTGGGTTTCAACCCCAGCTCTGTCCTGTGCTAGTCATGTGACTTTGGGTAAGTGACTGGGCCTCTCTGGGCCTCAGTTTCATCATCTGTAGAATGAGGATAACACTGGTCCTGCCTCGCAGAGCTGCTGTGTTACAAATATCACACTAGTCAACGTCTGCAAAGCACCACGCCTAGGCCTGGCACAGGGTACTGTGTGTTTGCTATTATTGTTAAAATACCATCTGGTCTCATCCTTCTCCTATTGCCCCACTTTTAAAATCAAAAGTCCTGGGCTTCCCTGGTGGCGCAGTGGTTGAGAGTCCGCCTGCCGATGCAGGGGACACGGGCTCGTGCCCCGGTCCGGGAAGATCCCACATGCCGCGGAGCGGCTGGGCCCGTGAGCCATGGCCGCTGAGCCTGCGCGTCCGGAGCCTGTGCTCCGCAACGGGAGAGGCCACAACAGTGAGAGGCCCGCGTACCGGAAAAAAAAAAAAAAAAAGAGTCATGTACCCCAATGTTCACTGCAGCTCTATTTACAATGGCCAGAACATGGAAGGAAACTAAGTGTCTGTCGACAGATGAATGGATAAAGAAGATGTGGCACATATATGTAATGGAACATTACTCAGCCATAAAAAGAAATGAAATTGAGTTATTTATAGTGAGGTGGATAGACTTAGAGTCTGTCCTACAGAGTGAAGTAAGTCAGAAAGAGAAAACAAATACCATATGCTAACACATATATATGGAATCTAAAAAAAAAAAGTTTCTGACAAACCTAGGGGCAGGACAGGAATAAAGATGCAGACGTAGAGAATGGACTTGAGGACAAGGAGGGGGGAAGGGTAAGCTGGGACGAAATGAGAGAGTAGCAATGACATATATACACTACCAAATGTAAAATAGATAGCTAGTGGGAAGCAGCTGCATCTCACAGGGAGATCAGCTCAGTGGTTTGTGACCACTTAGAAGGGTGGGATAGGGAGGCTGGGAGGGAAACGCAAGAGGGATGGGATATGGGGATATATGTGTACATATAGCTGATTCACTTTTTTGTACAGCAGAAACTAACACAACATTGTAAAGCATTTATACTCTAATAAAGATGTTAAAAAAAAAGAAAGGTGTGGAATTTGGGGAGGTGGGAGGTGCAGCCGGTGGCTCTTCCAAACCCATGCAGAAGGATTACATCAAACCTCCCATTGCCCCCTCTGTGGTCCCTCTCTCGCTTGCAAAGAGGTAAGAATGGTGACTTTAAAGACCCTCCTAATACAGCTCTTTTTAATGAACTCAGAACCTCAAACCTTCTCAAAATGAACCCCCTATAGGTGGGATCCCCTCCAATGCCCCATGTATCCCTGCCACCCTCCAGCATGCCCACCAGCTCCCCAGACCCCAGCCACATACACTCCAAACGATACAAGAGGATGTCATACTCACAGATATTAACCGGAGAAACACCCTCTCCACTCAGCCTGATTGGGGGGGAGGGGAGAGAAGGAAGGTTACTGTGGTGTCCAGCAGCTTGCAGCCATTTGAAGCGACGTTTTTGCAATTGTTTTAAATGTATTTAGAAAAACCTGAATTATTTTTTATTGCAGAAGTAATGGAGGCTGAAATTATTGAAATACTAGTAGTATTAAAAATAATAATCTAATGAATGAAATAATGAAGAGTTTGGGGTTCATAGGAGTCAAACCTGTAATCTCAGAAACACGTCTTTTGGTGTAAATGAGGTAGACACCTTAAGAAAATTAAAGCTAGTCATATGCTACTGTCAGCTGGAAAGGTAGGGCTGTCATAGAACAAGAAGAGCTCTCTTTCAATAATGGACTATTGTCAGGCACTGAGGTTATTACAGGTGTGGAGAGGAGTCTGAGTCATAAGTGTAACGATAACAATAATAAGTCTATCATTGTTGTAGCAAGTAGGGTAGTTTTGCTTTAGCATCTTGAGGACAGAAGTGGCATTCATTATAAACACAGACAGAACATTAAAAAGGGCTACCTACCTACTACCTACATTATGCCACTTAATTCTCTCAACAACCCCATTAAGTAGGTTTTATTATCTCAGTTTTACAGATGACGAGATTGAAGATCAGAGAGGTTGATTAACTTGCCCATGATCACAAAGCTGGATTTGAGGTCAGATACATTTGACTCCAAAGCTCATATCTTTGGCCATTAAACTGAAAGATAGCTAACATTTATTGACCATTTGCTGTGTCCCATGCATTGTTCTAAGAGCTTCATATATAGTCCCTCATGGTAGGAGTCCTGTAAGAGTGGCAGAATGACCCGGAAGAAATGAGTGTGTGGGGAGCTCTGGGCCCTGCCAGAATGTACCTGCATCTTGACGTTGTCGATCTCGGCTCTCAGCCTCTGGATCATCCGGTCCATCTCAGAGATCTCTCGTTTGGTGTTGCGGAGATCATCGCCGGGCCGGCCTGCCATGACCTGCAGCTCCTCGTACTGATGCCACCAGAGTAGAGTCAGTCACTCCATCAAACACTGGCAAGGGCACTGCCTGTGCGCCCAGCCTGGCCCTCGGCGCCCTGAGCGGGCCCATCCATTCACTGATCATTCGCACATTCCCTCGCTTGTTTCTCGAGCACATCTACTCGCCAGGTGTGTCCTGGGCTCTGGGAATATCATGAAGAGCATAATCAGAGCCCTGCCTACAGTTTTCTGGCAACAATCAAACCAGCATATTATCGAGTTTATGGTTCCAAACTGAGATGAGTCCCTTAGGAATTGAACAGTGGCTTATGGGGGTGTGATAAAGGAATCTGACCTAGATATGGAAGTGGCTGGGGGGATGGGCAGGGAAGTCCTTCAAGAGATGGAGATACTTGAGCCGGGCGCTGAAGGCTGGGAAGGATTGACTTAAGTGACCGGTTTGGGGGAGAATATTCCAGACCGGGAAACAGCCTGTGTGCGAACACCCTGGGATAGGAAAGCGCATGCAGAGCTCTAGGAGTAACAGGTGACTTGGCATTGTCCTTGGGGGGGTGGTTCTTGGTCACGGGGCATACGTCCAGACCAACTGTGACCATGAATTTTGGTGGCCCTCCTGACACAGGTGTTGGGGAAACAGGGAGGAGATGCAGGGGTTACGGTGTTGGACGGTGCCCAGACTGTAGAGTACCCCGTTCTGAAGACTTTGTAACAGAATCCTCCATCTCAGGTGGCTCTCTGTCTAATAGTGCGTATCCAGGACACACTCATTTAGGAGAAATAAATGCACCCTACGTCCTCCAGCCGCCTGAAGAAAACCCACGCCCTTGCCCAACAGAAGAAGAGCCCCTGCCTGAGTGAAGATCTGTCCAGTTTCGAAAGTGTTGAATAGTTCACCTTCTTCGTTTCTAGACACACACAGTTAAAGGGAACAACAGCCTTGCAAGCAAAGGGAATCATTCGCTATACACTTCAACCATCCCACCTCGAGTTAAGTGCATCCCACCTCCACTTACCACCAAGGGGCTGCCTCGCCCTTGCACCCCTGGCACCTGACACCCTGCTTCCTTTCTACCACGCTGCAGTGGTAGGGACTAAGTCCATGCCCAGATCAGGGCAAGGGATGGGAGCCAGTTTGTAGGTGAGCAGCTGCCCCAGAAAAGCACCTGCGTTTGGCAGAGAACTGATCTCATGGGTTGGACCATCCACGCTACTACACCCCCCCAAAGCCAAACCTTCTGGCCATCTGCGTCTTTGGGTAGTAGCTCTCTGTGGTTATTCCAACCTCCCTCTTCCCAGTACAAACTCTTTTGTTCAGCAGTGTTCATGTCTGCCTTGCAGCCCCACGGGACCGCTTGCTCAGCCTTGAACCCCTCCCTGCTCCTTGGCAATCTTTTCCTCTCATTGCTTCCAACACAGCCTGAAAACCCACCCTTCTTGGAAGTGTTTTATTAGTGCTTTTTCCTTTCTGTGACTGTTCATTCACTTCATGGCCTCCCAGACCTTGGATTCCTTTTGTAGTCCGTTCATTTACAACTTTGTAACCCTGCTTGTCATATAGTAGGAGCTCCGTAAATAAACAAGCCCTTTAGAAAAGTTTTATGACCGTTTCTTGGTTGTTTGAGTCTCATCCAACCCCCAACCAGTTGTAAGTGGTGTGGGGACTGTGGCTGTCCTTTTGAGCACCCAGCATTTCTTGACCACATATCAGTGTGCGTGTGTATTAGGGTTTCCGCATGCATTTCAAGCTCAGTTTTCATAGTTTTCAACTTGGCTCCTGCCAAGTTGAAAGAAACAGGAATGCTCACATGATTCCTGAGGCTTGTGGCTAGTAGTTAAACAATGATTTGGGGCTTCAGAGGACACTAGCCCTGGAGCCTATCATGGAGGTGCCCACGCTCACCTTGGTCTGGTACCAGGGCACAGCATCAGCCCGGCTGCGGTTGGCGATGTCCTCGTACTGGGCTTTGACCTCGGCGATGATGCCATCCAGGTCCAGGCTGCAGTTGTTGTCCATGGACAGGACCACCGATGTGTCGCTGACCCGGGTCTGCATCTGGGACAGTTCCTGCAGAGCCAGTTAACTCAGCATCACTACAGCAAAAAGAGAAGGGGTCTCGAAATCATGCAGTTGACCTCCCATCTAAGTCAGGAATCCTTTGGTAACCTCGGTAGGGATTTCCCAGCTCTTCTTATGCCAGGCATTTGATGGAGGGGGAGGTCCCATGTCAACCCCTGAGGAGTTTCTGGGTCATAGATCAGTGTGATGGGAGTGTGTCCCAGCATCCCTTCTCAGGGCTTCCTTCTGCGTATTTTCCCTGAGTATGAAGGATGAGTAAGTGTTCTCTGAATCCAAATTATATCAGGTCGAATACGACTTATGTGATTCATATGCCAACATTAAAGGTTTCTTCGGGATTGGGTGATTTTTAGGACCCTGCTCCCCTCCCCCTGCACAGTGTGAATTCTTCACTCTCTACCCCTCTCTCCCCTTCCACAGACCCAGGTCTCTGCCATCAGAGTGGCAGTGCCCAGAAAGAGGCATCTTTAGGGACCAAGAAACACCCTGACCAAAGGGCTGAGGGGCAGCTTGCCTTATGAACTTTCTGGGATGGGGAAGGGAGAGGTGGGTCTTAATTCCTTGGGAATGTTACCCAACAACATGGGATTTTCGGAATCAGCACTCCCTCCTTGCTAGGCCATGGGGTCGGGGGCAGAAGCCTCAGAGGTGGGATGGGGTTGAATGTGGCAGGATTTCAAGCAGTTCTTCCCAATACCCATGACCTCCTAAGCCCTCCATCCCGGGTAGAGGCACTATATGGATAACACCCTGCCACATCCTTTTCTTTTCAGGGTCCAGACATAGGAGGGACAAACACATTTGCAGGCTCTTACTGCCTCAAAGAGCACCAGGAGGAAATTGGTCTCTTCGGTCAGAGAGTTGACCTTGGCCTCCAGGTCCACCTTGTTCATGTAGGGGGCATCCAAGTCCTGGAAAGACAGCGTGGAATGCTCCTCTGAGACCCTGGCACCAGGCAGCAGGTCCGAAAGAAGCTGGGCAGACTCTTCCTCCATGGCCCTTACAGTTTGGATTTTAGCAAACTCTGTATCTGGGGTTTGGGGGTGGGGGTGGGTGATTGCTGGGAACTGCAGGCTCGAATCTCCTGGGCTAACCGAAACCCAAGCAGGGTCATTGGGGCCATAAATACAGAGGGAGGATTTTGGCAGGTTTGAGCTATCCAGATATTCTCAAGTTTGAAGTCACTTTTCTTGGGTGGCCCAAGGGTCCATCACCCCACACTCCAGTATTCGGTTTTGAATTTTCTCCTTTGAGAGACATTCCCAACCGCTTTCTTCAGAGCCACAAACTCATCCTCAGCAGCCGTGCACTTGTTAACTTCATCCTCGTCCCGTAAGCACAGAGGAGAGAGGGCGTGCTTGTGAGGAAGGGTTATTCTTTGTTTTATTTTTTAACATCTTTATTGGAGTATAATTGCTTTACAATGGTGTGTTAGTTTCTGCTTCATAACAAAGTGAATCAGTTATACATATACATATGTTCCCATATCTCTTCCCTCTTGCGTCTCCCTCCCTCCCACCCTCCCTATCCCACCCCTCTAGGTGGTCACAAAGCATCGAGCTGATCTCCCTAGCTGCTTCCCACTAGCTATCTATTTTACGTTTGGTAGTGTATATATGTCCATGCCACTCTCTCACTTTGTCACAGCTTACCCTTCCCCCTCCCCATATCCTCAAGTCCATTCTCTAGTAGGTCTGTGTCTTTATTCCCATCTTACCCCTAGGTTCTTCATAACCATTTTTTTTTTCTTAGATTCCATATATCTGTGTTAGCATACGGTATTTCTTCACTCTTTCTGACTTACTTCACTCTGTAGGACAGACTCTAGGTCTATCCACCTCACTACAAATAACTCAATTTCATTTCTTTTTATGGCTGAGTAATATTGCATTATATATATGTGCCACATCTTCTTTATCCATTCATCTGTTGATGGACACTTAGGTTGCTTCCATGTCCTGGTTGTTGTAAATAGAGCTGCATTGAACATTTTGGTACATGACTCCTTTTGAATTATGGTTTTCTCAGGTTTTATGCCCAGTAGTGGGGTTGCTGGGTCGTATGGTAATTCTTTTTTTAGTTTTTTAAGGAACCTCCATACTGTTCTCCATAGTGGCTCTATCAATTTGCATTCCCACCAACAGTGCAAGGGTGTTCCCTTTTCCCCACACCCTCTCCAGCATTTATGAGTAAGGGTTTGATTGAACTCTTCCCAGACCGAGGAGGACTGTACTGGTGCAGCAAGAGCTAAGAAACCTTAAGTTCTTCCCAGCTCTTCCGCTGACCTGTGTGTGACTTTGGGTAATTCACTTAACCTCTATTTCTCCCCCCGGTAAAAGGGGAATAATTTCTTCTGCCAGAGTTTCTTTTTCCCTTTTTTCTTTTGTAAGACTAGAAGGTGAGCGTGCAACTGATAGGAATAGAAATACATATTTATGCAACTCCATCCTCTTAGAGATGCACAATTCCAATCTTTAAAAAATTTTGCTGGGCTTCCCTGGTGGCGCAGTGGTTGAGAGTCCGCCTGCCAATGCAGGGGACACGGGTTCGAGCCCTGGTCTGGGAAGATCCCACATGCCGCGGAGCAACTAGGCCCGTGAGCCACAACTACTGAGCCTGCGTGTCTGGAGCCTGTGCTCCGCAACAAGAAAGGCTGCGACAGTGAGAGGCCCGCGCACCGCGATGAAGCGTGGCCCCCGTTCGCCACAACTAGAGAAAGCCCTCACACAGAAACGAAGAGCCAACACAGCCAAAAAAAAAAAAAAAAAAAAGGCAGATGCTTGCTTTACCAAAAAAAAAAAATTTTTTTTTGCTCCCTCAAGTGCCTGCTGGAACTGTGGGGTAAACTTTGTTCAGGACACTGTTCCGGTCGATTTTGATATATTTTCACTGAACCTCAGGGCAGTCATTTAAGTAGTGTGCTTTTAGTGAGTAGGTGTTGCTCTAACTCAGAAACCAAGGGTGAGCCAGCTAAGGGATTGGCGAGGACCTTCCTTTCTGTTAGATACCTCACCTACTGTAGCCTGGGTGATGGCAAGTCAAAATTGCCTCCCCTGAGGAGGATCAGATTGACTGGTTTATACTCTAGTGTGCATCTTCGAAATGCAGGTGTCTCAATAACAGAGCCCATGTCCAGCAGAGTTAAATAATAAGCCGATTATAAAATAATATATTGCTTTCCAGAGTCGGAATCTTTTGTGAGATGACACAGATGTCCCTTTGCAGTCATGGAGACAGACAGAGTAGGCTTCTTGTTAATAGTGATGCATGAGATGAGGGTCCCTTGGTTATCCCATACTTTGCTGTCTTCTTCTCATGAGATAATGACTGCAAGTCCAAACCTCCTTGACACGGGCATCTGCTCCTTCGCACCCCTCTGGTCCTCATAAAGAGGAGTTCTGGGATGACTGCATGTGATCAGAAGGGTCTCCCACTCTCACCTGACTTTTGAGATATTCCACGACATCCTGCATGGTTCTCAGCTCAGCACCCAGCCTGCCTCTCTTGGTGGTGACGCTGTCCAACTGCCACTGGAGGTCGTTGATGTAGGTGTTGAAGATGGGCTCCAGGCTCTGCCTCACGGTCTTGGTGCCCTGCTCCTGCAGCAGGCTGCATTTGGTCTCCAGGACCTCGTTCTGCTGCTCCAGGAACCACATCTGGATGGGGGAAGAAGAGAGCGAAGTCTGGAGAAACTGGGGAGGCAGAGCCAGGCACCCCAATTAATACGGGAGAGAGGAAAAGTATGCCCATCTGCCAATGATATAACTGACAGCTCCACGTCAAAATGGAAAAGCCCATCAAGCCACCCCGATGTTCTCTGGGGCTCCACAGAACAGTGCAGTGGGCCTTGGAGGCTTTGATGGGGAGCCTCCATTCCTGGGGTAAGTGTCTCTACAACACCTGCTCTGGGTTAAGTTAGTTTGCCCACGGAATTTAACAGCTTCACCCTTCCCTCTGTGTTGACTGAACCAGCTGGCATGGCTCCCAAGGAGGATGAGGGGAAATTCCCACAGGTCCTGCGGGGCCCCACCTGCAAATACCTCTGCCCCTGGGAGATGCTTGCCGAGCGGATGCGCTTTTCCACAGGGAGGTCGTTGGGTGACTGCTGCGCTCTGGCCGGGGCCTCTCCAAAACTTCCTGCCAACCCAACCGCACGGACAAGATGCAGCCCCTGGCTCACCTTGTCAATGAAAGAGGCAAACTTGTCATTGAGGGTCTGAATCTGCTCCCGCTCTTCTTTCCGTACCCGCTGGATGGTGGGGTCAATTTGCAGGTTGAGGGGAGTCAGGGGACTGGTTGATGGTGACCTCTTGGATGCCTCCAGGGGGACAGACGGAGAAGCCGGGGCCCCCATAGCCCTCTCCAGTTCTGCCCCCATAGCCGAACCCACCACTGACCTCAATCTCTCTGCTCGCCCTGCCATCAAAGCCACTTCGGAAGCTGCTGCTGTACCCACTGATGGAGACCCGCTTGGTCCCCCCCAGGTTGAAGAGGCTGAGGCTTCCACAGTTGGTCCCAGCACCGCTGATCCTTCTCATCCCTCCACTGCCCACCCCAGGGAGTGGGCCACAGAGACGGAGCTGAAGCGAGAGCGGCTGGTGGCTAGGGTGGTGGCTGAGGCCATGCTGAAGCCCCTGCGGCTGCCTGTCTGGAAGGTGAGAGTGGACTGCCTGGACATGGTGGCTGGGAGAGGCTGGCGAGGAGAGCTCCTGATGTGGGTACGTGTGGAGGGGGATGGAGGAGACAGGGCAGCTGGGGCGCCCTGCCCCCTGGGCTTTTGTGTGTCTCTGGGAGGGGCGGGGTGTGCTCAGGCAGGCCTCTGATGGCATCTCCTTGGCATCAACCAACCTTGAGCCCACACTCAGCTCCCCTCTGGAAACAGTGTAAAAGCCACTGGTTGGTTCCCTGACATCCCTCCTGCATGTGGAAACTCCTTTCTAGTCGCAACTTGATCAGCAGATGAATGAGAAGCACGTAAATAGCTTTCAGTCACGTCCTAATCATGCATCTTATAATGGACTCAGAAAACACTGCCTCATTTCTAAACCGCTCTCTTAGGCCTGGGACCAACTCTCTCTTGTCCAAACATCTTGTGTCAACCCCAGTGACTGCGGTTCACTGTTTCCTGTTCCTTCCTATCCCTTAGGTGTGCATCTTATTCCTGAGCACTTTCTGGGCAATTATCCCCCCTCCCGACCCCGTCCCCAGCTCAAGCAGTCCCCTCCAGATCTTGAAAATCCTGCTCTACACTCACCTTTATCAGGAATCCAGCCATTTTGATTGCCCCTTTATTTTACTCTGAAGCTGCCATCTCTATTGCATGGGTCACACACGACATTCTGGGGCATCAGTGTGTGCGTCCGTGCACGCACGTATGTCCTGTCCATTCCTGTATAACGTGACCCTCAAGGCCAGGTCTTCTGCCTGCGTGGAGGGCAGTTGAGAGAGTGGGAAGATGGGCTTGAATCCCGGCCCTGCCGCTTCCTAGTGGTGAGACATGGGGCCAGTCATGAAACTTCTCTGGGCCTCGGTGTGGGTGTCTGTAAAGTGGGGTTTGTGATGACTATTCATGGCAAAACAGCTTTTGCAACACTGAGGACATGTAAATGCTGAGCCAATGTTTGTTGTGTCTTCTTTCCTGATATAATCACGCATGTGTGAAGGAAGTGCCATCAAGGCGTCTGTCCTGAGCAAGTCCTGTGGGGATTCGAGAGAAGCACAATACACGTTCTTGTTCTTTAATAACAGGCTTGCGGTCCTGTTGGGAAGACGACATGAAAGCACACTGAGTAACTTACGAAAAGGTGGTACGCAGTAAAATACCACCTCTTGGCTCTGTTTCAGGTCGCCTTATTCCAGAAGTCTCCCTGACTGGCCACTTTTCCTATTGATGGCCAAGGATCCTGACCCTTTAATCCTTCATCAAAAAGCCCCAGTGGCTACACTGAGTAGAGGACTTGCTTTTTGTTTTTGGGGTTTTTTTCCCTGTTAGTCTTAAAAAATTTTTTTTAATATTTTATACAATTTTAAAAGGTTACTTTCCATTTACAGTTATTACAAAATATTGGCTATATTCTTCATGTTGTAAAATACATCCTTGTGGCCTATCTTACACTCAATAATAGTTTGGACCTCCCACTCCCCTACCCCTATATTGACCCTCCTCACTGGTAACCACTAGTTTTTGTTCTCTATAACTGTGAGTCTGCTTCTTCTTTTGTTATAGTCACTAGTTTGTTGTATTTTTTAGATTCCATGTATAAGTGATATCATACAGTATTTGTCTTTCTCTCTCTGACTTATTTCACTTAGCATAATGCCCTCCAAGTCCATCCGTGTTGCTGCAAATGGCAAAATTTCAGTCTTTTTATGGCTGAGTAGTTTTCCAGTGTATATATATACCACATCTTCTTTATCCATTCATCTGCTGATGGACACTCAGGTTGCTTCCATATTTTGGCAATTGTAAATAATGCTGCAATGAACATAAACACATGGAGGTTAAACAATATGCTACTAAGCAATCAATGGATCATGGAAAAAATTAAAGAGGAAATCAAAAATTACTTAGAGACATGGGACTTCCCTGGTGGTGCAGTGGTTAAGAATCTGCCTGCCAATGCAGGGGACATGGGTTTGAGCCCTGGTCCGGGAAGATCCCACATGCCACGGGGCAACTAAGCCCGTGCACCACAACTACTGAGCCTGATCTCTAGAGCCCAGGAGCCACAACTCCTGAGCCTGTGTGCCACAACTACTGAAACTGGCACACCTAGAGCCCGTGCTCCACACCAACAGAAGCCACTGCGATGAGAAGCCTGCACACCGCAAGGAAGAGTAGCTCCCGCTCGCTGCAACTAGAGAAAGCTCACACGCAGCACCGAAGACCCAATGCAGCCAAAAATTAAAAATAAATTTATATTTAAAATATACCTAAAGACAAATGAAAATGAAAACATGATGATCTAAAACCTATGAGACGCAGTAAAAGCAGTTCTCTTTTCTTTTTTTTTGATTCTTTAAAAATCAAAGTATAGTTGATTTACAATATTTCAGATATACAGCGAAGTGATTCAGTTTTAAGCAAAAGCCGTTCTAAGAGGGAAGTTTATAGTGATCCCTGTTGGTCTTGTTGACTGTGTCCTCCAGCCCCTATCCATCTAAATTGATAAGGAGTCTCCAAGGCTTCTCGTCCAGTCCCCTTTTGTCTTCATCTCACATCCCGGGGGTGGGGGGTGGGGGGTGGGGGCGGAGTCAGACAGAGAAATCCTTAGATCTTCTTTTGTCTTGCTGACTTCTTGCTTCTTGCAGTGGTTTTGGAGGATGGGAGAAGCTGAAATGTATTCCGTCTCTGTTTTGTTGATGAGGAAACTGAGTCCCCACTTGGTAAATGAAGGAGACCAACATTGCCGAGCTAGAGAGAAGCAGAGCCACATTCCGTGGTCTCTCCACATAGGGGTCCTTTCAGAGATGCACGTGGTGGGTTGGCAGACGCTCGCCAGCCTCAAGCAGCAGCTTGGCCCTTGGAGCGGCAGTTCTCTGTTTTCTGGGCTATTTCCTCCTTGGGGCTGAGGCCAGGGAACGGGCCTCTCCTCCATCGAGAAATTGCTTGAGAGTCTCATTTTCCACAGGGAACCCGTGAATCATAGCTTTTGTTGATACAGACCAGGAGGAGCACAGGAGTTCTCTTGCCTGGTTGCCAACGCGTCCAGATCCCAGCTGGCGTGATGAATGCGTCTGCAGTGGAAAGAATAATCGTCTTTGCTCTCTGTACTCATGGCATGATGATCTTTCTCCCAGAAGAAGGGACACTTGTTTCCTGAGCCATGCTGAGGAAACTCTTCAGAGCTTTCCAGGGAACAAAGCTTGTGAAGGGTCAAGGCTGGGAGGGCCTTTGTTGGCCCGTCCACGGGAATGGGGGTCACCGCAGCTCTTGCCCATTAAGCTTCCTGTGTGGAGGATGCTCCAGGCTGCTTTCCCTCCTGGGTCATGCCTTTCTTTCCCAAACCCTCTCCTGGGAGCCTATTCCAGGCATTGCCGTCTCATCCTGTTTCCAATCTTGTTTCCCTTGGCCATCACCTCTTGTCTGGGGTTTCCCACTTCCTTCCTTCCCTCCCTCCTCTCTCTAATTTTCCCACCTGGACCGTTGTTTCCAAAGCTAGATTGTCTTACTCGTTGACTTTGGTGAAGTAGATGGAGACAGATATGTCTTACCTCTCTTTCTCCTTCATTCCCCCCTCCTGTGACCTTTGACCTTCACTGTGACCTTTACCCTGGTGGACGATGTCTACCTGAATGCCTAGGACACCCTGGCGTCCCACTTTAAAACCTCAGAACTTAGAGACTATGACATCTCTGCTTTCCTTCCTGCCAACGAGGTTTCTTTTTCGATTTTTAACCTCCTTTATAATTCTGCTTTGAACTCTCCCTGCAAGAAGCCTTCTCAGATAAACTGTGCCCAAGACCAGCCCCTTCACACCTATTCCCTGAGCAGGCCTGTGTGTGGCTTGCACATTGGCGTATTGTTCCTCCTGCCTTGGTTTCCTGGTGGTCTGGAGGGTTGGGGTGTGTCCCCTTTCCCCTGCCCTGCCTCGTAGCACCCTACAGAGAATTGTGACTGCAGCTCACTGGACATAGGTTGTCTAATTTAAAGAAG